TTCTATTTAAATGTGGATACAATGAAGATGCCTGTTGCATAATGTAATGCCTGTTTTTGGTTAAGAGTATACATGGTTAATGGTATGGTCCATATGAGAGGGGCCATTTGTATAAAGATACCTGTTTTTCAGGTGTACTTCAGTTCTGTTTTAGCTCAGGTATGTGAGTTGTGGGGACGCAGAGGGTCAATAGGCTGGTATACCCCAATTCATTCAGTGTTCTGACAGTGTTTGAAATCTGTTGTAAATATTTTTGTAGACCTAGGTAAATATCCATTGGATTTCGTCTTTAAGCTGTACCACATTTTCACTGTGAATAAACTGGATACTATTTTGCACCTGATCCTGCTGTCTTCTGTTACTCACTGCCCTTAATATGTCTGTCCCAACATCTGAGCCCTACAACAGACTCCCTCATTACCCCCAGATGTGGTGAGTCCATTGCACATTTACTCAAAATGATGTGAAATACAACCCAATCCTCCCTCACCCTACTGTCCTATGTGGAACTCCAACAAGCACACAGTATCGATGTGAAAAAATCAGTGTTTCTCACATTACAGTCATAGTTCAGGAGTGTGAGTTCAGTGGCACAGAAAACAGTGCATAGTGTGAGCCGGTTTTCCAACAGACCAGTCATGCATGATGAGCACAAATCACCTGCACGAGCTGTAAAACTCGGACTTAATAACAAACAGCAAACAAAATCTGCAATTTGAATGTTACGTTCATTATAACAACAAAATTGAGTTAGTGGATGGATAAACATGACAAGCTCCTAAGTCATTATATCAATCTTGCATAACAGAAAATGTCTAAGATTCCCAAGATTTGCAGAATACCCTCCCACACTATTCCTTGTGGAGGTCTGGAGGAGAAATGCACAGGCATGCAACTGGAAAGGGAGTTTACCTCACCAGACACCTCTATCAGAAGAAGGTGAAAGGTTGATTGATAGAAACCGGAAACGGCCTATCGGAAGGTTGTGTTCACTGGCATGTGACAGGTCTGGCAATGGGACCTTTTTTTCCCTTGCAGCAGCCAGAATCTTTTGTCAAGCACTTTCCTTTCACAATCACTTCCTATACAAGACCTGCTTGCAATGGGGTGGCCGTTATTAGGGGCAGGTCTTTGCAGTACAGGTCATGGCCTATGCCATACAACCCCACACAGCTTCACATGGCCAGCGTGGTCATTGTGGTGGACCACTCATATCTAGCATTATGTTCTCATCTGGGTTTGTCCACATACAAAAAGCTTTGTGCATGATATGACATTACTATGGGCTGTGTCTGTCACTGAACAATAACACAATGAGATGTGAGTCAAGTAAGGGGTGTAGAAATCTGACTATCTTCCCTGAACCTTCCCTGTCTGTATGACCTAGCTGGACGCAGCTGTCTCTCAATGCCCGTCCTGCCGCTCTGCTGCTTCACATCGCCAGCCTACACTGTGTGGCACACTACACACAGTTCACACTCCTCCACATCCCCTCCAGCTGCCCTGAGCAGAGAGGGGAAGGGAGAGGGGAAAGAGCACCGAAAAGCTGGTTTAAACACAGGATGCATTATGATACCACCACAGCTCTTAATTCTTGAAAAGGTACATTAGTTCATCCACTGCAGTCTGCCTAAGCCTCTTGGGATGAAGAGCGTCTGGACTCATTCTTCAGAGACATGAGAGACATGCTGAATCCTCACGAATGGGACACAAATCCCCTGAGAGACAGTGAGGCAGCACAAATGACAGGAACAGCAACTGAGGGATCAGCAAGTCCCCTTTACCGTTTTGTGGGCGGGGCAGGGGAACAGGGGCTTTTCATGCCCTCATTGCAATGGCAGCCTGAATAAAGCCCTCCACAATCTCTTCTTTTTGCCCATGTTGTGTGGAATATGTGGCTGTGTGGCAGCTGCAGGTTGGGCGATAACAGCAAGGCTCTGCTTGCGAAGAGCTTTTGTAGCTGCTCCGCTTATGGGCAGGAGATGACAAGATGCCTACCCCCTTTGTGTGGCAGGGAGAGAGCCTAGGGGTATGCAGGGATAGGGTTCACATGGGGCGAATGAAAATAAATGCTTCAGTGATGCAGCAGGCCTCAAGTCAAGCTGGGACACAAGCACCTTTTCCAAGCAGCTGATACACTTTGAACTGATCTCCAGGTGCAGTATAATATGTCATCATATTCCACAGTGCAGAGATCAAAAGGAGAATCTGTGGATGTCAGTGGATACGCCAAACCAAATCTGTCATTTCTTAACAATTTCACAAGGACCACTGACCTGCCCATCTCCAATAGTCAGGCTAATTCTGCACCGGTCCGTCTGAAATGGAGACATATTTGGGGATTACCATACAAGAAGTCTACTGTAGTACCTGAGATCTGCCTAACACAATCCCCTATTATGTAAATTAAAATAGAGTATGTAAGCTTTTCTTTGACAGAAATCTCAACAAGCCTAAGAAAAAGTCATATTGCAATGCATCTGAAACCATCCTAAGGGAGCATGAAACATCTCTATTGCATTGGAATAGCCTATATATTCAAATAGCGTAGTTGTTTAAGGAGACAAAGCCAGCCATATATGTGTGTAAATGTGAAATTACAACTGGCCAATCTCTTCACATGTCTATACGTTATACTCTGCTGCCAACCTGTGGTGGAAACATGAAATAGCCCTAAAGTTAAGAAAACCACCACTCATCAACATGTTATAAAACCATGCCAGATCTTTGAATATGCATTGTTTCTCTGTTTTTGGTAACATTTACTTTCCATGTTTCATCTGGTAGATATTTGTCTCGTATGTACTTGTCTTAGAATGTGATGTGGTAAGAATGCACTGTTTGTGGCTCATATTTCAATTATGCTGTTGGTATGGCAACACATTTTACTTAGCCACAGGCAGTGATGGTTCTTTATTAGATTAGATAGTTCATTACTTTCTGTTGATATTTGCTTTGTAACTACATTGAATTACAATGCTTTGGTTCATTGAAATTCTGTTTTCCAAGAATACACAAACATATTATTTCTGAATAATTGCATACTCACCAGATTGTTACAGAGTAGCATATCAAGTTATTCCTAAAGAAATAGAACAGTCATGATTAGGTCATTACTGTAACTAACTATTTCTAATAAAATGTCAAAGTAGATAGGCCTACAAGGTCATTAACAGACAGACTTCTTTGTGTTGATTGTTTGCTATGTGGTTAACATTCTTGACTTGGCACATTACAAGAGTTTCAAAGAGGAGTCCAGCAAAAAGATTCGAGTTTACTGCCCACATGTGTTGTGATACAAAATATCTTCCTGCTGACTCTATTCTATTTTGCCATTGGCTGAATCGTTGCGTTATTCTGTAGCTTCCTTTGATGCTTCATGTAATTTCATTGGATATAGCCTATATTGTCTTCCCCACGTTCATTGGTCCATAAATGGAACCGAGTTATTCTATTTGCTAGAGGCTCAAAGCCTTGATCTCGAAAGCACCCAATTGGTTCAGAAACTGGGTTAGTGGTGCAACGATCATCACAGGAGGAGGAAAGTAGGTCAGTGTATTACTTCTGCCTACCGCTGTTCCTATCTGCCTCAGTACACATGTGCTGCCTTTCCACACGTAAGTAACATACTTTGTTATATGTTATGCAAAAGGCCCTATAACATATTTCCTTTATTAAACATTGTGAATTTGGTATACTGTGTGCATTTCTTTACTCGTATTATGGGTCTCAATTGGCTGTCTATTGCCATTCTCGAGGAGGTGCAGTCATCGGCTTACAGTGTAACTTAAAGGCACACAGTGTAATTTAATGCAGTGAGCAAAATGCGATTTGTAGGTTTCTAACCTAATTTAAACATCTGGAATGACCGTATGTAATTTTATTTGATTGGGAGGCTATTTTTGTCTATTTGTACATTGCGTGATTTGTCTGAACTTCCCTGCCACGGCTCGGGATTAAACGAGGTCATAGCTATGTTGCATAAAACAACTAGTGACGCGCGGTTGATTACCTGTCACAATCATTTGCCTTTTATAGGCCTATATAGTCATCCTTTAATTAACAGCAACAATGTTTCTTCTCTATATGAGCAATGCAAGGCAGGTGTTGGGCTGATATTGATACAATGTAATGAACATATCCTGCACTGGATTCTGTTCAGTTTCAGATTATATCAAGTCAATGTGACAGTCACTGACAGATTTCTTGCCATTTGTAAACTACTTGCGGTCCATTAGGACTGTATGTTTCATTATTTAATGACCGTTGTCATTAGGCCTATATGCTCGACAGGTCCTAGTGCAGAATAGTCTAATAATAGCCATACATTTCTACCAAGCTCCAATGTTAGTGAAACCAAATACTATTTTGCTATAATTTGAACAAATCCCTCTGCTCATAAAAGTAAGGCTGTAAAAAAATCAGTATTTGTGAAAGTTATGTTGGTCTATTCATTACATTTTAGTCAGACAAGAGCAACTTACAGTTAGTGAGTGCATACATTATTTTTCATACTGGCCTCCCGTGGGAATCGAACCCACATGCTCTACCAACTGAGCTACAGGCGGCAGATAGCTTAGTGGGTAAGAGCGTTGTGCCAGTAACCGAAAGGTCGCTGGTTCTAACCCCCGAGCCGACTAGGTGAAAAAATCTGTCGATGTGCCCTTGAGCAAGGCACTTAACCCTAATTGCTCCTGTAAGTCGCTCTGGATAAGAGCGTCTGCTAAATAAAAAAATTAATTAATTTAAATTAATCCCTGCCGGCCATTCCCTCCCCTACCCTGGGCCAATTGTGCGCCGCGACCGGGAGACCCACAAATGGCTACAGTACACCAGTCCAGGGATTGCACATTTCAACGCTCACTTTTAAAAGGACATTACTCTTCATGCTATTCTTAAAATCTGAAACAGCTATTCCTGAAAAAGTCAACAAGTGTATCAGTAATGTAACAGTAATAACATAGATGATGCTACATGGTTTTAATTTGACATAATATGACATGAAGGTAAATAGAGAACAGTGGGGTCAGAGAAAATTTAATTGTGATTGCATTGTCTTTACTAACTCCTTGATGGACAGTAGTAGGCTATAAGACAGGTCATGTTTTTGTTTTATGAAATATTTACCTGTCAGTACTGCACATTAACACAGGAAAGTGGATTCTATTGGCTACTTCATAACATTTAGGTAATCATCCTTTACTTTAACCAGTTGCATCATGTCACATTATGTGTGGCGCTCGGTTGCTTCCACTGGAGCTGTGTAACTCACAGTAGCTTTTATGTTTGGTCCCAAATTACACACTTCTTGATTTTTCACTTCTATTCTGAAGTCTCTGTCTTTCTTTCTTCATGGTTGCTTCCACTGGAGCTGTGTAACTCACAGTAGCTTTTATGATGCGTCCCAAATTACACACTTCTTGATTTTTCACTTCTATTCTGAAGTCTCTGTCTTTCTTTCTTCATGGTTGCTTCCACTGGAGCTGTGTAACTCACAGTAGCTTTTATGTTGGGTACCCAAAATTACACACTTCTTGATTTTTCACTTCTATTCTGAAGTCTCTGTCTTTCTTTCTTCATGTTGCCCTCATCCCAATAGCCAACTTTAGGTTTCAAGGGAGGGATTCAACAGAAAACATGGCATCGAATTTGAACACACTCCTATATATATTTTTTTTTTTATATGACCTGACCATATCTACCTGCCCTGCCAGTATGATGCTCCTCTCAGTGTTTTCACTGAGCTTTCTCTGAGCCTACAGTAGCTCTCAAAGAATATGCAAAGAAATTCAAGCTGCTTTATGTCAGTCAGGAATATTGTAAAACATGCTTAAAGCCAACAGCAAATTTGCAGAAAGAGCAGCATATGCCGAGGGAGAAGAAAGGAGAAATCTGACCTTGAAATTCTATACAATGGAGTGGTTTTATTTGCCCCCCCCCCCCCCCCCCCAAGTTTTCTGAGCATAAAAAAATGATATATATATATATATACAGTGCCTTCGGAAAGTATTCAGACCCCTTGACTTTTTCCACATTTTGTTACATTACAGCCTTATTCTAAAATGGATTAAATAAAACCAATTCCTCAGCAATCTACAGAAATACCTTATTTACATAAGTATTCAGCCCCTTAGCTATGATACTCGAAATTGAGCTCAGATGCATCCTGTTTCCACTGCTCATCCTTGAACTCTTCATCACGTCTGGAGGAAACTTGGCACCATCCCTACGGTGAAGCATGGTGGTGGCAGCATCATACTGTGGGGATGTTTTTCAGCGACAGGGACTGGGAGACTAGTCAGGATCGAGGCAAAGATGAATGGAGCAAAGTACAGAGAGTTCCTTGATGAAAACCTGCTCCAGAGCGCTCAAGACCTCAGACTGGGGCGACGGTTCACCTTCCAACAGGACAACGACCCTAAGCACACAGTCAAGACAACGCAGGAGTGGCTTCGGGACAAGTCTCTGAATGTCCTTGAGTGGCCCACCCAGAGCCTGGACTTGAACCCGATCAAACATCTCTGGAGAGACCTGAAAATAGCTGTGCAGCAACACTCCCCATCCAACCTGACAGAGCTTGAGAGGATCTGCAGAGAAGAATGGGAGAAACTCCCCAAATACATGTGTGCCAGGCTTGTAGCGTGTGATATTTCAGTTTTATTTTTTAAAATAAATTTGAAAACATTCGTCATGATGGGGTATTGTGTGTAGATTGATGAGGGAAAAACAATTTAATCAATTTTAGAATAAGGCCGTAACGTAACAGAATGTGGAAAAAGTCAAGAGGTCTGAATACTTTCCGAAGGCACTGTATATATATATATATATATAGTCCAGTCAAAAGTTTGAGAGAATGCCAAGAGTGTGCAAAGCTGTCATCAAGGCAAAGGGTGGCTACTTTGAAGAATCTCAAATATAAAATATAGTTTGATGTTTAAGACTTTTTTGGTTACTACATGATTCCATATGTGTTATTCCATAGTTTTGATGTCTCCACTATTATTCTACAATGTAGAAAATAGTAAAAATAACGAAAAACCCATGAATTAGTAGGTTTGTCCAAACTTTTGACTGGTACTGTATATATATATATATATATATATATATAATTTTATCTTTCATTGTTGGACATGAAATACTGTAAAAATCATCTCCAAGTGATTTCAATTGAGGAAATCTGTTCCCAAGTATTCCCACGCATAATAGAGAGAGCAGTTTGATATGATTATGTTTTAGTCAAATATTATATGTGTTTGGGCTTCTTGCGTTGAGATTTGCAGTCTACAAATTATTTGTAGCTTAAATATGTTCCGGCCCCCGAACAGCCGCTCAAGAAAAAATTGTCCAATCATTTGAGCATTAGCTTTTCTCAACCAATAATAGAGTAATAATACAGTAATAATAATTCACAAAGTCAAAGGATGACACGAGCGTAGTAGGCTAGGTAGTGCTATAGCTGCCACCTAAGCCTAGAGCTGACCGGTCAGAAATGTTGTATTTTGTTAGACTATTGTGAATGGTTGTCCAGCTGTCTGCTTTGTCCATTCCCTGAGGCACACACAGTGCTCGTTAATCTCTGTTGCTGATTTTCTTTAACCCAAAATGGTCTCACTCCCCTTGAGTTGTGCATGTGTTTTGTCCATTCTGCTGACATGCTTGTTATTTTCCTCTGGAGTTGTTTATGAGCGTAGCTGAGCGTAGCTATAGTTTGGATTTTTCTGACTCAGAACACTTGAAGGTGTAAACATTCCAAATTAAAAGAAGGCATTGCTCTTATCCATGTACTCCAATGATGATATGAGTAGGAAGGTTAAAAGTCGAAACAGAAAGTTGTTCTGTTTATGGTGCGGATAAGTGTGCATTTGTGTCACTGACCTATAAATAAGGGGTGTGTGTGTGGAGCAATTAGAGCACATGCTAAAAGAAGTGGTCTGTTTTGTATACATTTCCCCATAGAGCCGTGATAGTATGGTAAACATAAAGATAAATAGGCCTAGCTGTTCTGTGCCTAATTACAGGAATTACATCAGGTACTGGGCTGTCTGTTATCCATATTTTACTGTGTGACATTCAAAATGTAGTACTTTGTGCAGAACTACTGCAGTATGATTAGTCTTATAGGCATGAGATATTGCATGGCAGTGATTATGATCCCATTGCTAATACTACCCTGTTGGGGCTAGGCATAGAGGAGAATCCTGTGGACATCTCCTCTACTCACACTCCATCTCCAGATCACCTCCCATCTGTCGCCCATCTAAGCTTTCTGAACAAGCACTTAATCAGAGCACCACTCGCTGTTACTACATAGGCCTAGATGAGTCGCCACTCCCAGCTGGCCAGTGTGTTTTACACTGTGACCTGACCTCTTGTCCTATCTGATCCCTCTCTCTCCTCTCTAGGTACTGTGCCTGTCAATGCATCTGTGAGAAAAAGCCCAGCTCTGACATAAGGAAGCCAGGCCACTTCCTTCACCACCCATCCAGGTATGTGGACACACATGGTTCTGTGTGATTTCATAAGAATTGACAGCTGCTCTGAAATGAGTTCACAACCTTTGTTTGAAGTGAATCACCAATGACGTTTGTGACGCACAGCTTCCTGCTGTTTCACTTCAAAATGCCCACATGAGCAGTTGGCGGGGAGAACAGTTAGGGATGAATTAAGTTATGAGCACAGTCAGTCAGTCAAACATAAACACAGTCATGTGTGAGGGCGATCTTCTCACCCACAGTTCCCAGCTATATTGTTTTCTTGCATCTTATTAACTTGAACTGGAGTCTTATTTCTGATTTTTTAACATGGCCTCTAACCATCTATTCCACCAACGCTTTAACATCTCCTGTCTATCTTTCTAGCGTGGCTCTTAGAATGCTCTGTTCTGAGTAAAGGAGCATACTGAGAAACGGACAGCTTGACTTACATAGCACACATAGGCCATGTCATTACATGAGCCAAGCCTGAGCTTTCCAGAAAGGCACGCAACAGACTGGAATTACAGACAGCCTTACAGCGCTATGATAATGCTGCTGAGCGCACAGTACACTCTGTTTCATCTGAACGTGACAGAAGTATGGGATCACGTCAGGGGAGTGGCTTAAATAGGAACACATTTAGAACAGTGACATAGCATTAAGAACATTATGAAAGGGAGAAGTTCTTGCATGGCAGACAGTATCACAGTGCTGTGTAAGCTAACCATGTGTATCCAGCTGAGCTGACATACTGTAGTTTCATCCTGACCCTGTTACCAGTGGTTCTGCTTCTTCCCTGCTTCTCCTCATCTGATCAAGGTTTTTATTTCCGCACAGCTTAAATATAAACCTTTTTGTCACTTAGATACCATAGAGGTCATGTGCATGAAAACATTAGAAATGATCAGAATCCACCTTAGTGATCTTGTAGTGTTGTAAAATGGATGGTGTTGAGTGTTACTGAATATTATGTGAATGCCATGGAGATGGTAAAATTATACACAAGTATTTTCATTAGACTTTGATGAGTGGTGGTGTGAGGAGAGGTGTGACCTGCATGCTATCAGTGGGTTCTGTGTAGCGGAAAAGGTTCCCTAATTGGCAAGCGTTCAAGAAGGTCCTGCTCCACTGTATCCGGGCAACCAGAGATGTGTTACAACTAGCTAAGCTGACCTTAAAGCAGAGTTTCCTTTTTCTCCTTTTGTGTTTGAGTATACACTAAGTATGCCCTCAGAACAGCCTCAGTTCATTAGGGCATGGACTCCACAAGGTGTAGAAAGCATTCCACAGGGATGCTGGCCCATGTTGACTCCAATGCTTACCACAGTTGGCTGGATGTCGTTTGGGTGGTGGACCATTCTTGATACACACAGGAAACTGTGTGGAAAACCCAGCAGCGTTGCAGTTGTTGACACAAACTGGTGCGCCTGGCACCTACTACCATACCCCGTTCAAAGGCACTTACATATTCTGTCTTGACCATTCACCGTCTGAATGGCACACATACACAATCCATGTCTCAATTGTCTCAAGGCTTAAAAATCCTTCTTTAACCTGTCTCCTCCCTTCATCTACACTGATTGAAGTGGAATTAACAAGTGACACCAATAAGGGCTAACAAGTGACAATCAATCATAGCTTTCACCTGGATTCACCTGGTCAGTCAATGTAATGAAAATAGCAGGTGTTATTAATGTCTTGTACACTCAGTGTAGGTGTTTTAGCCTTCCTTTGGCTTATGTGACAAATGAACATTTACAAAAGCATTTACATTCTCAGGAGTATTGTTTTATGCAGCTTACAAAAAAACATGTAAAAAAACATTGCAAACACACAGTGATGAATGGTATAGAAGCAAGTCCTCTTTGCCCGGTGGATTACATAGTCAGCTCGGATGTCTGTTGTGACATATACCAGAGTGAGGGGTCAGGTTGTAGTGTAGTTGACTATGGTGACGGTGACAATAACAAAGTTCCTGGCTGCAGGCAAGAAATTATGGGGTGTAATTAAGGTTTTGTTCGATGTAATCACGCTCTGAAACTGTCACATCATACGGAGAGTGGAAAAGAGCTGGGGAAAAATAGGTCAGTGGAGAATCAAATTACAACGAGAAGACTTTCAGGCACAGTGGAGCAGAGCATTAGTTCTGGTCTGATTACAGGAGCAGGACAAGGCACAGTGACCTGAGGTGGCTGTGCTTTTTAAGGTATTTTTGTGCAACCTGGTCACAGAGCATTCCGTATGATTATGTACGTAAATCCATGACACTCCATTTAGTATGATATGTTAAGTTCCATATGGTATGAATTAATTTGTGGATGTCCATCACCCATTTCGTATGATATGTTACGAATTACAATTCGTATTATATGTTACGAATTAGCAAAATGTATAATATGTTACAAATTTGCTAAACATACAATATGTTACGAATTTGAAAAAGGCATGATATGTTACGAATTCTAGCAAGGTGGCTAGGTAGCTAACGTTAGCTAGCTGGCTAACGTTAGCTAGGCTAGGGGTTATGGTTCAGTTTAGGGTTAAGTTTAGGAGTTAGGTTAAGGTTAGGGTTAGGGGAAGGGTTAGCTAACATGTTAAGTAGTTGCGAAGTAGCTTAAAAGTAGTAAGTAGTTGCTAATTAGATAAAATGTTGAAGTTGTCCGTGATGAGATTCGAACTCGCAACCATTGGGTTGCTAGACGTTCGCATAGAAGTTTGCGTTATACTTTCGTTAGGAAAAGGCCATATTACTGGTTGGATTATATAAACAGTGATCAATGCAGATATGGGTTTTTTATGAAATGTGACCCCTCCTGACAATCTGTCTTCCTCGGTAACATTGTCATTGTTTTATCTGAATTAGCCTTTTATATTAAGGACTAATCTCACTAAATTATGTCTCTGACTGACACCTAGGTTTTTGTAGCATATGCTACATTATGTTATGAACACTATTCCAAAGCATCCGTTTTTAGTAACCCAAGGTTTTCATTGACGACAAAATAATTCTGGTTCATTGTTGCTGGAGGTCAAGTGAATTATGCTTCTCAAAGACACTCTTGATTGTTGCCTAAGGGAGAGAGAGAGGCTTGAGCCTCAGCTATAGCTTTCACCTTATGTAAGACCTTATCATTTCAATCTCAAACCATAGAGATATGAATCGGTCCTCTTACATCACCTTTACTGAGTGGGCCATCTACAGTATACATCAGCACAAAGTCCAGGTTGTACGGCAGCTGCTCAGGTTCAGAGGGCTTTGTTATATGATGCTGCTGTGGTGTCCTCATGCCTTGGGTATATAAAGAGGACGTCTGACTCTTCGCTGACTTGCCTTTCAGATCTGGTTCATTGCTGGAAAGAAACCGAGTGAGATGTTTTGAGGATAACTGGCCTTATGAATATTTGTGGTGAGTGTCACACCCTCTTTAAAACAACCACAGTTAATTTCACTTTTTGATCAATTGTCTTTGTCTAAGAATTGAGATTTTTACGTCTATAGTGTCCTTTCATAGAAGTCGCTTTCACGTCAACTGACCTTTTATTGTGTGTTATGGAGTAGTAAGTGCTGAAATCATTGTGTTTTCTCTCTATAGATGATCTAATGGCAGACCAAAGAATGGACATTTCCTCCACGATGAACGAGTTCATGTCTCCTGGCTCCACTGATCTAATCAGCTCGATCGGCACACCCGGCATGGACTACACACGCAAGAGAAAAAGCAGCACCACAGATTACCAGTAAGCCTGACTCCTATACTGCTTATAGACTTTGTTCTACTTGCCACCTGAAGATAGTGCATGTGCCAATCATCTTTATTATATTTCTATATTTCTTAATTCCATTATTTTACTTTTAGATTTGTGTGTATTGTTATGAATTATTAGATACAACTGCACTGTTGGAGCTAGGAACACACGCATTTCGCTACACCCACAATAACATCTGCTAAATACGTGTATGTGACCAATACAATTTGATTTCATTTGATATTCATGTCATGTTAGGTCTGGTTTAGTGTGATCACATTTTTCAGTTTTTCATTTATGCCATTTTGTGACAGATTTGTATGTTTGCATGCAGCTTTTTGATGAACTATATGGAAATATCTTCTTACTGTGTGTCAAAGGTTTCCACTTAAAGTTGACAAGATAACTACCTACCTAGAAATTAACAACCAATTAGGAACAAATGGTAGCATAACCTTGATTTAGATTAGAATAATCAGTATACTTAATTTGAATTGTAATATACAAACTTCCTTGCTTTCACAGAATTGATGGATTTTCTTTTGAGTAAGTATCAAATCAAATTATTTTACATTTTAGTCATTTTGCAGACACTCTTATCCAGAGCGACTTACAGTTAGTGAGTGCATACATTATTATTTTATATATTTTTATTTTTCATACTGGCCCCCCGTGGGAATCGAACCCACAACCCTGGCGTTGCAAACGCCATGCTCTACCAACTGAGCTACATCCCTGCCGGCCATTCCCTCCCCTACCCTGGACGACGCTGGGCCAATTGTGCGCCGCCCCATAGGTCTCCCGGTCGCGGCCGGCTACGACAGAGTGGCACAGCTAGCACTGCGATGCAGTGCCTTAGACCACTGTGCCACTCAAATTATGAATGTTCAAGTACATTTGTAGTAGAGGAGCCAATCACATGTCTGATTAGTTGGCCCTCTGTGATCCTTGTTTGGTCGGGATTGGCCTGCAAATTGAGGTTAGACACTAATGTGTTCCCCATATCAGGTAGAGAAAAAACGAAAAAAGGTATTGTGTATTGTGAAATTCCTCATCCCCAACTTAGGTCAATCAAAATGAATGTGTTATTATAATCAGTACCCTGAGAGTGACCGGTCAGTTAGTATGTACTGTATGGATCGCTGTGAATATGGGAGAGCCAGTCATGCTATAGTGTAGATTTTAATAGCTAGAATAAGGGTAAGCATCAAAGCATGAAGGGGTGCTACAGTAACAATCTTGAAGCAACAAGACTGTATTACAGTTGTGTTAAAAAATGTATTTGCTGGTATTTAGTTTGATGACAGGCCTTAATTTAATAGAGAGTGCACCCTGATTTGATGGATGATGGATGATACATTATATTGTTGTCTTTGTAACTCATTCACTAAAGGCACAGATTTGTTTTTACCTGCTTTAGTGAGACTTAAGCCAACAACTCTGTGGGAATACCTTTGGGTCAATTTTGTAGAGCCAATCATATTTTAAATAATCTTTATTTGAGGCTGTTGAATGCTATTATAGTATGGAGTGAACAAGTCTTGAAGTGGCACAGGATATGTAATGGGTCATGACTTCATTTCTCTTTTGTGGTTTGTGAAAGGACAGTAGGGCTGAGTGGGATGACAGAGTAGAAGTTCAGCTGTGAACAATATCAGAGGTATTAGTGGCACAAGGTCTTTCGCCTGAATCCACACAAGAATGGTCTCAAAGAAACCTTGTTCATCATTTTGTATTAACATTTCTATAAACTATTCATATAGCTTTGGTAGAAGCTAATAGCTTGAATTAGTAATGTTGATGTTTCATGTCAATCAAAGGCTCTCCATGTTTTTTTAATTATAAAAAAATGCAAATGACTTCTCACTTTAGTGTTTTGCATTATTCATAATTACATTGCATACTGTATTATCATTATTAAATAGTTGTTGTAAAATAATTGTTTTACTATATTTCTTTGTACTAATGTTATTGCCTCTCCTCAAAGGGATAGCATGGACACAGACAATGATGGACTTGGTGATCATCAAGGCCGGATTAAAAATGCCAGGTAACCAAATGTTTCTACCTTCCATAGGATGACATAAAAATATGTGTGTTTATATTAGAGATTAGTAATGTTTCTTTAAATACAGGCAGACTATGGATGTGTTGATTCGTTTGTCTGTGTTAATTGCTCTTTGTATTGCTTGGATGGCAGGGAGGCCCACAGTCAGATTGAGAAGAGACGCAGGGACAAGATGAACAGCTTCATAGATGAGCTGGCCGCACTAGTGCCTACCTGCAACGCTATGTCCCGTAAACTGGACAAACTAACGGTCCTGCGCATGGCTGTCCAGCACATGAAGACCTTAAGAGGTGAGGCGAGAAGGATTTTAGTAGGACTGCTGCCAGAACAGTGCAAAGATGACAACCACCACCATGCAGCTGATCAATAAAGTACATCAGAGAAATACAATAAATAAAAATTACATATTGATCCGGTTGTGTTACATATGAGCTTTTTCTGACTCACAGGTGCCGCTAACCCCTACACTGAAGCTAACTACAAACCAGCCTTCCTGTCAGATGACGAACTGAAGCACTTAATACTGAGGGTGGGTGTCCTTACTTCCATAGACTGTATGGTGTCCTCAGAGTGCGTTTCATGATGAGTATGCATGTGTGACTCAGTATTTATCTTTCTCTCTTCTTCTCTCTCTCATCTCTCCCTCTCCCTCTCCTCTCCACAGGCATCTGATGGCTTTCTGTTTGTTGTTGGCTGCGATCGAGGGAAGATACTGTTTGTTTCGGAGTCAGTCTACAAAATCCTAAACTACAGCCAAGTACGTCCTCTCCAATATGTTGCAGTTTTTTCCATTATCCAGAATGACTTACAGTTAGTGCATTCATCTTAAGATAAGTAGCTAAGACAACTACATATCAGTCAGTACATTTTCCCACAATAAAGTAGCTATCAGCGAAGTAGGTGCTAGTTGGAAAAAGTCAAGTACAAGTGTTAGTCCACGAAAGGCAAGGGTGTTAGTTATTTTGTATTTTTTTAATGGCGTCATTTATGTAACATGGACTTATCTTACAGTACTCTCTCCCTCTCTGTGCAGAATGACCTGATTGGCCAGAGCCTGTTTGATTACCTGCATCCTAAAGACATTGCCAAAGTCAAGGAGCAGCTGTCCTCGTCGGACACGGCGCCGCGGGAGCGCCTCATCGATTCCAAAAGTAATGCACCCTGGCCTCTAGTTACCCCTACACAGCTAGCACAGTGACACACCCCTCAATGTATCCCCCTGTACCGTGTGCTCCTCAGCATTTAAATGTCAGAAGCTAAATGTAGGGTAGTGCTATTTTTATATCAAGACACGCTGGATTTAGGGTAAATATAAACAGTCAAACAATTTCTGTAAATTCAACCAATTTTTTGTAATAGCAAAAAATTATGTATTGTAGCTTTATTTGCCAGAGTAGGACTTGATGCAGTATATATTTATAAAAGATCATGGGTGATACTGTTCCTGTCGTTGCAGCATAGGTTAAATGCTATATTGTGTCTGGTCCCCAGCTGGCCTTCCAGTAAAGACAGACATCACCCCCGGCCCATCCAGACTCTGCTCTGGAGCCAGGCGATCCTTCTTCTGCAGGATGAAGTGCAATCGGCCCCTCATCAAAATGGAGGACAAGGACTTTCCTTCCACCTGCTCCAAGAAAAAAGGTACCTGTCTTTTCCTTACATTTTCCATCTCCTGTGATTCATTTTAGTTAACAGTTCATTTGGTTTCGTACCAATAGACTACCTACTCATTGATGTCAGTGACAGCTCCAGAGTAGGGCTAGATGATGATGAGGATCTATTCCCTGTATCCGCAGCTGACCGTAAGAGCTTCTGCACAATACACAGTACTGGCTACCTGAAGAGCTGGCCGCCCACCAAGATGGGTCTGGATGACGACAATGAACCAGACAACGAGGGCTGCAACCTCAGTTGCCTGGTGGCCATTGGACGGCTGCATCCCCACATTGTCCCTCAGCCAATGAACAATGAGATCCGTGTCAAGCCCACTGAGTATGTCTCGCGCCATGCCATCGACGGGAAGTTTGTCTTTGTCGATCAGAGGTGAGAGATTTTTTAGGGCATGGATGCAGTCATACAAACATGTAGCAAAGGATGTACCAGTTGGCCGCTACACAGTGATGTCCTGACACCTGGCTGGACCTTGTGGGCAGTCCAGAGCTGGATTTACTGTAGAGTGACAGCTTGTGTGTGAGTGAGGTTTTGTCAATGTCCAAATATAGCATCAGTAAAATGTTCCAGATGGAGGTGTTAATGGAGGCCCAGAGGGCAGACAGGATTCAGAGTAGATATGTTGACAACAAATACTCCACTGCCCCCTGACAAAACAATCCCATAACCTCGCCATGTCACTGATACTGTTAGGTACACTAGGAAGTTCTAGATAATGTCACAGGGTGCTATGTGATTGTCATAGGGCTGGGCAATATGGACAAAATATCATATCATTACAAAAAAAAATAACAATGACGGTATTTGATGTTTTTGAATAATAAAAGTTATAAATATGCTTTCTGAGTAATTCATGACCCTAGGATGGAAACACATACATTATAAGTGATTTCAATGGGGCTTTCTCCATTTATACTGTTCAATCCAACTCCAAACAAAAATCATTTTCAGCATTTTCATCCATTTCTGCATTTCCTGCACTTTTATGATAATTTCCACACTGTGACACGCAGCATGATCTGGGCAAAAAAATCTAGGCCTAGTTAATTGTACTGTTGGAATCATGGAAATATAATGATTATTCTAATTCTATAGTTGGTATATAGTGGGACAGAACCTTGAATACATTGTTGTTTGACATGACAACAAATTAATAAGCCAGTGAGGAATTATCGATAGGGTAAGAACCAAAGTTTTCATCAGTGTTTCCAGGTGACTCTAATTAGATGTTACATGACATGTTTTCATACTTCATGTAGCTAGCTAGCTAGCCAACATATTATTTACCATCCCACTGCTACTGTTCTAGATGACTGTTGGGAATATACTAGTAGACAAGGCAGTGGTTTTGGTTGGGCACTTGGAAAGCTTGCTGATGAGAGTGGTTTGAGGGAGTTGGAGGTTGGCCCTTCTGTGGTGATAGGGGATGTTCCTCCATGGTTACTCCCAGATCCTGTTGTTGATCTAACCTTGGTAGAGAAAAGGAAAGATTGGTCAGAAGTCAGTGATATAGGGAAACTGGTTGACAATTACATTGGTAGAAGTTTTTATGCATTTTTACCGCTTTTCACAGGTGGATCCAAGGACCCAGATAGTGGGCGCACAGGAGCAGGCGTTTACGTTCCTGAATTTGATGTGCAGATATGTAGAAGACTAACAGATTAACTGTCAGTATACTCAGTTGAACTGTTGGCGATAGTAGTTGCCCTCCAGAGGGTGGAGGACGTACAACCTGTCAGAATTATAGTGTGCTCAGATTCCCTATCTGTACTGAATAGTTAATCATCTGGAAAATCTAATAGGAGTGACCTTCTATTGGAGGTATTCATGTTATTATGGAGAATTGAGAGACTGGGTGTAGTAGTGAGATTCTGCTGGGTCCCAGCACATTTGGGTGTGGAAGGAAATTACATTGTAGACCAGTTAGCCAAAAGAGCTTTAAAATGAGATATAATTGATATTAATGTTCCACTGGGTAGAGGTGAGGCCAAATGTAAGATCAGAGCCATTTTGATAGATGTGTGGTAGAAGGGATGGGACTCTGAGCCCAAGGGCCGGCATTTATATGCCCTTCCAAAGAAAGGTCGGTGGACCAAGTTTCAAAGGTCAGATTAGGAAGGAAGAGGTGGTGTTTGCTCGATTGTGCCTATGACATTGTACATCGAACTCGTCATTACATCTGGTTGACAAGCATGTGAATGGTTTGTGTCTGGAGTGTATGGTCGATGAAACGGTGGAGCATGTGTTGTTATATTGTTGTAAGTATATTGAAGAGAGGGTTATTGAGGTTGGATGGGGTTGGAAGGGATTTGGGGGAGGGTCTATTAGAAGTTAGTAGGGTTCTTTTTTATTTTCTCAGAAGTACTGAGTTAGGTAGGAGGATTTAGAAATGTGGAGCTAATGTTGTAAACCGTGATTGACCACACACTCCAGCATAGTAGGTGGCGGCATCCACCTTTAACATTTGTTTGCGGAAAGCCATTATATCATAGAAGAAGAAGCCAACATATATTCATACTTCACCTATTCCTCTCTGACAACATACCGTTGCACAAACATGCTTATCTTGGCTTACACCGGCACTGGTACCAGGCGGTGTTAGCTAACTAGCTAAGTTTGCTCTGACTCTTAGTACATTTAGCTAGCTAGCCACTAGCCAGCTAACTAGCGATAAGCATTAACAGCTAACACAAATTATTTTAGCAACACCTTGCTAAGAAAAGACAAACTAGCAAACAGTAGTTTGCAGACAGGAAGATACACAAACAAATTGAGTAAATATAGAACGCTTGTGGAAAGTAGCATGTCACCAACATTGTTGCATCCATCTGACCATGCGGAGTGAAAAACAGATTATACGCGCCAGAGTTGCGTATTACATTTAACAAACCAAACATTGAAATACCGTTATAGAAGTTAAAGTAAAAACTTAAACCGGTCCGTGCATCAATACCAGTATATAGTCAAATATGGTATACTGCCCAGCCCTAGAATGTCATGGCATTGGTTATGATCAAACAAGCAAAGCAGGGGGGAGAATATTATTTTATTTGTATACAATAAAAAAAGATGTGGGCTTACTTCTTAAAGATGTCCTAAATACCACCGGCCTGCATTGATAGTCAGGACTTGTGTTTAATACTGTTCTCTTTTGTAGGGCCACTGCCATTTTGGCTTATCTACCCCAAGAGTTGCTGGGTACTTCGTTTTATGAGTACTTTCATCAAGATGACATTGGGCACCTTGCAGAATGTCATAGACAAGGTATGTATCAGATTGAACAAGGACACCAATATAACACCAAAGAGCAAAGTATTAGACTCAGTGATACATCCCTGAGTCTTAGGCCTTACATGAGTAATTTTGTAATGGCTGGTAATTTTGTCATAAAAAATGTATTGCGCTAAGCCTGTCACATGGCGAGTAGACTGTGATATGAATGAATCTAGAACCTGGCAGGCTACCATTTGGCATGTCACAGAGGTCAAGTGTGCAGAGATCATGCCTTATTGAGCTCACCCCCTGGCTGCCGGCTCTGTTCTCAGTGCTCCAGATGAGGGAGAAGATCAATACAAACTGCTACAAGTTCAAAATAAAAGACGGCTCCTTTATCACGCTGAGGAGTCGCTGGTTCAGTTTTATGAACCCTTGGACCAAAGAGGTGGAGTACATTGTCTCCACCAACACTGTTGTCTGGTAAGTAGCTACACACATCTGTTTCTGCTAGGACTTTCTTCCATAGCCCTCATTTAACTAGTCAATGCATAATATTACACTGTATTCATTTTATTAGGGTCATATAAATGTAAGATTTCATACAGCTGATTTACATTTACAATGCATTATTGGAACACTTGCATCTTTATTACTGTGTCTTTCTACAGCTGTAGGGTTGTCTATGCAATGGATGTTAATAAACTGCCCAATGAGGTGTGAAGTGACGAGCATGCTCAGTGATGATGCTCACTCTCTCTTCTCTCTCGCTTTCATTGTCTCACAGCGGCAGTGTGCCTGAAGGATCTGATGGCATCTATCCTCAGCTCGCCGCCTCCCCCCAGAGCATGGACAGTGTACTCACAGACGGTAAGCCTTCCCTCCTGTGCTCTCACGAAGCAGTTCACCTGCTTGGATGAAGTGTGACTGTACTTTGATAAGTTGACATACATTTTTTTGTGCCTGGCATGACTAAGTAATTGTTTTGTTTCGGAAATGTGACTGAGCTTTTGCGTTTGTTGGTTGCAGGAACCGGGAAGCGGGCCCTTCAGACCGTGCCTGGCATCCCCGGTGGCACAAGGGCAGGGGCAGGCAAGATCGGACGGATGATCGCAGAGGAGGTGATGGAGATCCAGAGGTGAGAGGAACCATGTGGATTGTGTTTTGATTGTATTGTCAAACAGAAATTGACATGTCTGTATGGTCATAACCATACCATGATCATTGACCCCCAGTGCATAATGGAAACGTCTGTGTGTGACTGAGACTGTATGGGGCTGTGTCCTGCTGTTTTTACCCTGTATTTTTACTCTTCCAGGATAAGAGGCTCCTCGCCCTCCAGCTGTGGCTCCAGTCCTCACAACTTCACCAGCACTCCACCCCCAGACATGTCGTCCCCAGGGGGAAAGAAGGTAAGAGCTCCCACCTGTCCTTCCCACTCTCCTCCACCTCAACCCCTCCCATCTGGGAGGAAGTCTCCTATTCACTCCACTGCTCATCCATGTGAAGTCAGTAATGAGCACATCGGGTGGATATCTTTAGTGTCTGTTGGTGGCTCATACTTGAGGATGCAATGGTGATTCCTTAATGTCAATTCTATCTTGATTCTTTCACAGATACAAAACAGTGGAACTCCAGAACATCCCTCAGCAGGGATGATACCGGGACCAGACTCCATAGGCTATCCATACTCCAACAACTCCAATCTAAGTATGTATTTTTCCCCGCTCTGAACTCTAATCTCGATTACAGTTAATGAAACTATCCACATAAAATCTTAAATATTTAACCCCTGTCCTTACCCTGTTTAGGTGATAATGCTCACATTGGCATTGACATCATGGATGAGCCAGGCTCCAGCAGCCCGAGTAATGACGAGGCAGCCATGGCTGTGATCATGAGCCTCCTGGAGGCAGACGCAGGGCTGGGAGGCCCAGTGGACTTCAGTGACCTGCCCTGGCCACTGTGAGGACTGTCAGGCTTAGGCAAGGCCTCCTAAATGGGATGAACATGGTGGAGTAAGGGCTGGGTGTTACAGTATTCACATTGTGTCAGTTTGTGACCAGTACCAGAGAGCCATATCAACAGGGCTAATGCAACTGTAGCCTCACAGTAAGGCTGAATGCAGGCGGGCCCTGAAAAGGAAGGAATACTAGGCCTGGGATCGGCCATGGTGTACAGTCCGCCTCAGTGTGGTTTGGGAAAAGTGAAACTGCCTCATTACTCCTGTAGTATTATTGTACCAGTTATCTGGGTTTTTCTATGTCCATTCACCCTCACAGGCATTGAACCCAGCTCTTTTATAATGGCATTAGTCTGTTTTTGTGTGTTTTCACAGAAAATTGTATCATACATGTTTATTCTATGAGAATAATTTTGTCTAAATATATGTACGTTAAAGTGTATTGTATCAGCAGTGAATTATTTTTAAAAGAAAACTTCTATTCCTCTATTGTTTATCTCCATTTTTGAAAATACGAAACAGGGCAGTATGTAGCCATCAAGTTACCATCCCGTGGCATATCACTGCTAAATCAGCTGTAGGGATTTTACGTTGTTGCTACAACGTGGAAATCCAAGGTGCTACAATATGTTGTGTGGGAATACAGTGAGTAATCTGTTTGCTTGCCAACAATAGATGAAACGTAACAAAATCAGAGACTAGTTCCTGTGCCAGAGTTGCTAGGAGACTGGTTGGTATTGTCCACACGACTTGTGATGTTTGCATACATTTACATTTACATTTTAGTCATTTAGCAGACGCTCTTATCCAGAGCGACTTACAGTTAGTGAATACATATATATATATTTTTTATACTGGCCCCCCGTGGGAATCGAACCCACAACCCTGGCGTTGCAAACGCCATGCTCTATCAACTGAGCTACATCCCTGCCGGCCATTCCCTCCCCTACCCTGGACGACGCTGGGCCAATTGTGCGCCGCCCATGAGTCTCCCGGTCGCGGCCGGCTGCGACAGAGCCTGGATTCGAACCAGGATCTCTAGTGGCACAGCTAGCACTGCGATGCAGCGCCTTAGACCACTGTGCCACTCAGGAGACATAATAACAGCTAGTTCAGTCCCCCCCCCCCCCCGACTCAGACCACTCCCACACATTGCTAGCAAAATTCTTGCTTGAGAAATTGCTCTTTGCTAAGAAGCACTTTTTGTTTTGTCAATTTTAATTGAAAACAATCACAATAAGGTACCTAATTGTTACCCAGAAATGATTTGATATTGAGATTATTATTTTTTTAACGGCTGCATTGTACCTTTAAAGCTTAGTTGAAACAATAACTAAGCAGTCACTCTGCCTCTGTTTTGGTAAAAGGCTGAGGGATGGGCCTGGAGGAATGTAACCGTTATCAAAATCATAGACAGAGGTATGGATGCAAAGACTGACCTTCCATGACATCAACATTATAGTTTTTAACCATGTTGAGGCGATACAGTGTTGGTTTACATTTACATTGTTTGCAAACATTGCAACAAATCAAGTATTTATTTTGGAATCTGAGTGTGACAGTTGAACTAAGCTCATGAGGCATTTATAAGTTATATTCGTCAAGAATCAATGAGTACGTATCATTAATTTACAAGTCAAAAGATGTATGTAGCAACTAAGGATTCTAGCTTCAACCAAGTTGATTTTATGTAACATGAACAAAAACACTAATTCTCAAGTCAAAAACATAAGACAGAACATAGCTTTTTCATTCTCTCATGTGCTTTCAAGCACCATAACCGGGTAAAAGTCTTTCCACACCGGGAGCAGTGGTAGGGCTTCTCTCCGGTGTGTGTCCTCTCATGCTCTCTTAGGCTCCCTAACTGGGTAAAACTCTTTCCACAATGAGAGCACAATGGTTTTTCGCCTGTGTGTATTTTTTCATGCGCTTTCAAATGACAACGCTGGATAAATCTCTTTCCACACTGAGAGCATTTGAAAGGCCTCTCTACAGAGTGTGTTCTCTCATGTTTTTTCAGGTCCCATGGTGATAAAAACATATTTTCACACTGGGAGCAGTGATATAGCTTCTCTACAGCGTGTGTTCTTTTATGCCTTTTCAAGTTCCCTAAATGGGTAAAACTCTTTCCACACAGGGAGCAATAGTAAGGCTTCGCTCCTGTGTGTGTCCTCTCATGCTCTTTCAGTTGCCCTGACCAGCTAAAACTCTTTCCACACTGGGAGCAGAGGTAAGGCTTCTCCCCTGTGTGTGTTCTCTTATGTGATTTCAGGGCTGCTGATGAAACATATCTGTTTTCACACTGGGAGCAGTGGTAGGGCTTCTCCCCTGTATGTGTCATTTCATGCATTTTCAGTTTCCTTAACTGAATAAAACCTTTTCCACACTGGGAGCAGTAATAAGACTTCTCCCCTGTGTGCGTTCTCTTGTGTTCTTTCAGGTGGCCTAACCGGATAAAACTCTTTCCACACTGGGAGCAGTGATGAGGCTTCTCCCCTGTGTGTGTCCTCTCATGTTCTTTTAGGTTCCATAACCTTGTAAAACTCTTTCCACACTGGGAACATTGGTAGGGCTTTTCTCCTGTGTGTGTACTCTCATGCACTTTAAGGTTCCCTAACTTGGTAAAACTCTTTTCACACTTGGAATAGTGGCGTCGTCTCGCTGGTTTGGATGTCTCTGGTTCTTCTGAAAGACACTTTCCACTGTCTGAGTTAGAGTCTTGTCTCTCTCTGGTGTTAATCACATCTCCAGACTTCTCTTCTTCCTCCTCTTTCCCTGTGACAGTAATCTCCTCTTCTTCTTTCACTCTTTCAACTGCATCCTCCTCTTTCCCCTCCTCTTTGACTCTGAACGTTTCTTCCTCTTCTTTCACTGTAACAACTTCTTCCTCTTCTTTCACTGTAACTTCTTCCTCTTCTTTCACTGTAACAGCTTCACCCTCTACTTCTTGTTTAACTGTAACAGCCTCCTCTTCCTTCTCCTCTTTCACTGTAACGTCTTTCTCTGTCCAGCAGACCTCTTCTTTAGGAGGAGAGTAGCTTAGTGAGCTCATGGTCGGGAACGTTAGCTAGCTAGTTAGCATTAGCCTCGTGTTACTTAGCCAGATAGCTAATAACGTAAATAGTAAACAAAAAAATATATATATAGTAAAGTAAATGGAGTAGCTAGTAAATACAGACTGTGGGTTTAAAACACTGATGTTAATATACACAAAAAATGGTCTAAAGTTGATCGGTTTTATGTTTTCTAGCAAGCTGCGGAGGTTGTGGTGGTTGAATCAGTTGAATCAATGCATATTGTGGGGGCACACCATTTCTCATCACCCACTCACCTTCCTGGACCATCTCACAGCCAGAGGCGTCCACCCCCACACAGGATGTGCTTTACTACTGAACCCCGGTAAATATTATGGTTCCCTAGCAACAGGCAGACTATCCAAATGACCCATAAAAGGAAAACTTTCCTCCTGATCTGAAATCAGGTCAACTCAAACCACATAATTGCAGGCTAGGTATTGCACATGTATTAGGCTACTTTTTCAACTTTCAGTTTGAAAGTCTAAGGGCTCTATTCAAATCTGTATCGCTGAAGCGTTACAGATCGCGCGATAGAAATGTAAAGGTAATTTAATTGAGCCAACGTATGCAGCGTTTACCATGAATTCAGTGTCCGCTAATGCAGTATGGAGGACTAAAAGTGCCACAATTAAATAAATAAATACACCATTAAATAATTACTTAAATGTGTCATTAATTAATTAAAATTAGAATTAAATACATAAATGTGTTATTAAATGTGTCATTAATTAATTCAAATACCGATTCATTTTATGTAAAATACATATATAATAATTTCACTATTTACATTTACATTTCATGGTCCTGCGTTGGAGTGCTTCCTGAATTACTTAAAACTGTCAAACTGACCCATCAAAAGTTGGTAGGCGGAACCTAACGCCTGATTGGTTACCCTCTGCATCAAGCCAAGACAAATCAATTCCGGATAATGTCAGCAGGTCCTGCTTCTACATCCTCTGCTAAGTTTAAAATGTCTCTAACCAACTCCCTGGAAAGTTCACGGAGATCCTCCATTGTCTTTATCCAGGTTGGCCTACTCTACTTCAGACCAAAGCAATGGATCAGACTAGATTCGCGTTAGCCCCGCCCACTGACTTTGATGGGTCAGTTTGACAGTTTTAAGTAATTCATGAATCACTGCAATGCAGGATCATGAAATGTAAATGTAAATAGTGAATTAAATTTCATCACGCTATAAAGATGAACTTCCACGATACGGATTTAATAGAGCCCTAGGTTAGGAAGTCAAGTCTCTGAAATGATAAACAAATGGTTTAAAAATAACCTATTATACACACTACGTCAGTGATCATCATCTAGACTCAGACGCCAGTTTGGTAACCCTGCTCTATGTAGAGGGATAAGAAAGGTGAAAGTAACACCACTTTCAAACTCAAGTGCTATTAATGGATAATAAGCATAATGATAGGAATAAAAACACCATACAATGTAGTGATTTTAATGTCTTTATGTCATGCTGAATATCCAGGGAGCACAGAGCACAGCATCCCATTACCAATCCTATGACGTCAACCAACCCAACCGTTACATGTTTCAAAGGATATCTGAGGGGAATTCAACAGTATTTTGCACTGAGTGGCGATGAAATCAAAGGCTTTGCCCCATTCCCCAAACAGTTACAGTATTCACTAGTCTTGCCATCCAGGAAGTATGCCCAGAACCGCACGTGAAATAAAAGGGGGAGAACACAGTAACACCACACAGTGCACAGCCCAAACTCATCAAATGAGGTACAATAACCATTGTAAATAATAATATTATTAATAATAATTACAAAAGTGGGTTTGCTAAATTTATTTCAAACAATTAACAGAAAAATAAACTCCTTTGGTCAAGTAAAAAAAAATAAAAGAGGAGAAATATGCCCTTTTGCCAGTCTAGTTTTTACAGTCGACCAGGTCCTTGAGACTCTAAGGCTGCGGAGGAGGTGCCAAGGCAATATGGTTATGATGCACCTCTCGCTCCATGCTGCAGTACGCTGGGGAGGGAGGTGTCAGGGAGGGGGCAGTCCTTAGACTGCGGGCGAGGGGGCGTCTGGGTCGCCGGGATCGTTGTTGTAGTTGTTGCTGTATTGGGGTCCACTGGGGGGCTGGTTGGGGAGGATGTCCAGCTCGTCCACCTGAGGGCCAGGGTGCATGTTGACCAGCTGGTCCTGGGGGATATCTGCAGCAGCTGCAGCCAGGTTAGTGATGGACTTGCTTTTGACACACTGGAAGTCAACATGGCGGCTCTTGCCCTCCTCCTTCTCCCAGGACATGCGGATGAAGGGCCTCTGGACGTAGTTGTAGATGACCTCAGGACGGCCACCAGGACGCTTTTTCACCTTCTCTTTATACGTGGGGTAACCTACCAATACATGGTGCAGACAACAGAGCCAGTGAGTTCACAATGCTGAATCGAAATATAAATGTTTTGCTCTGAACCCCAGCAAATACAGTGGGGAAAAAAAGTATTTAGTCAGCCACCAATTGTGCAAGTTCTCCCACTTAAAAAGATGAGAGAGGCCTGTAATTTTCATCATAGGTTACACGTCAACTATGACAGACAAATTGAGAAAAAAATCCAGAAATCACATTGTAGGATTTTTTATGAATTTATTTGCAAATTATGGTGGAAAATAAGTATTTGGTCATAACCAAAGAAGTGTTAAACAAATCAAAATATATTTTATATATGGGAGAAGAAAAATAAATGTATGCACTCAATAACTGTAAGTCGCTCTGGATAAGAGCGTCTGCTAAATGACTAAAATTTAAAAATGTAAAATATTTGAGATTCTTCAAATAGCCACCCTTTGCCTTGATGACAGCTTTGCACACTCTTGGCATTCCCTCAACCGGCTTCACCTGGAATGCTTTTCCAACAGTCTAAAAAAAAAAAAAAAAAAAAAAAAAGTGTTCCCACATATGCTGAGCACATGTTGGCTGCTTTTCCTTCACTCTGTGGTCCGACTCATCCCAAACCATCTCAATTGGGTTGAGGTTGGGGGATTGTGGAGGCCAGGTCATCTGATGCAGCACTCCATCACTCTCCTTCTTCGTCAAATAGCCCTTACACAGCCTGGAGGTGTGTTGGGTCATTGTCCATTTGAAAAACAAATGATAGTCCCACTAAGCCCAAACCAGATGGGATGGCGTACCAGCAAATACAGTGGGGGGGAAAAAAAGTATTTTAGTCAGCCACCAAATTGTGCAAGTTCTCCCACTTAAAAAGATGAGAGAAGCCTGTAATTTTCATCATAGGTACACGTCAACTATGACAGACAAATTGAGAAGAAATAAAATCAGAAAATCACATTGTAGGATTTTTTTTTATGAATTTATTTGCAAAATTATGTGGAAAATAAGTATTTGGTCACCTACAAACAAGCAATATTTCTGGCTCTCACAGACCTGTAACTTATTCTTTAAGAGGCTCCTCTGTCCTCCACTCGTTACCTGTATTAATGGCACCTGTTTGAACTTGTTATCAGTATAAAAGACACCTGTCCACAACCTCAAACAGTCACACTCCAAACTCCACTATGGCCAAGACCAAAGAGCTGTCAAAGGACACCAGAAACAAAATTGTAGACCTGCACCAGGCTGGGAAGACTGAATCTGCAATAGGTAAGCAGCTTGGTTGGAAGAAATCAACTGTGGGATCAATTATTAGGAAATGGAAGACATACAAGACCACTGATAATCTCCCTCGATCTGGGGCTCCACGCAAGATCTCACCCCGTGGGGTCAAAATGATCACAAGAACGGTGAGCAAAAATCCCAGAACCACACCTAGTGAATGACCTGCAGAGAGCTGGGACCAAAGTAACAAAGCCTACCATCAGTAACACACTACGCCGCCAGGGACTCAAATCCTGCAGTGCAAGACGTGTCCCCCTGCTTAAGCCAGTACATGTCCAGGCCCATCTGAAGTTTGCTAGAGTGCATTTGGATGATCCAGAAGAGGATTGGGAGAATGTCATATGGTCAGATGAAACCAAAATATAACTTTTTGGTAAAAACTCGACTCGTCATGTTTGGAGGACAAAGAATGCTGAGTTGCATCCAAAGAACACCATACCTACTGTGAAGCATGGGGGTAGAAACATCATGCTTTGGGGCTGTTTTTCTGCAAAGGGACCAGGACGACTGATCCGTGTAAAGGAAAGAATGAATGGGGCCATGTATCGTGAGATTTTGAGTGAAAACCTCCTTCCATCAGCAAGGGCATTGAAGATGAAACGTGGCTGGGTCTTTCAGCATGACAATGATCCCAAACACACCGCCCGGGCAACGAAGGAGTGGCTTCGTAAGAAGCATTTCAAGGTCCTGGAGTGGCCTAGCCAGTCTCCAGATCTCAACCCCATAGAAAATCTTTGGAGGGAGTTGAAAGTCTGTGTTGCCTAGCGACAGCCCCAAAACATCACTGCTCTAGAGGAGATCTGCATGGAGGAATGGGCCAAAATACCAGCAACAGTGTGTGAAAACCTTGTGAAGACTTACAGAAAACGTTTGACCTGTGTCATTGCCAACAAAGGGTATATAACAAAGTATTGAGAAACTTTCGTTATTGACCAAATACTTATTTTCCACCATAATTTGCAAATAAATTCATTAAAAATCCTACAATGTGATTTTCTGGAGAAAAAAAAAATTCTCATTTTGTCTGTCATAGTTGATGTGTAACTATGATGAAAATTACAGGCAACTTGCACAATTGGTGGCTGACTAAATACTTTTTTCCCCACTGTACATGATAAAACCATCATCTTACCTTCAATGCCTAATCTTATTTTCTTCAGTCCTCTCTCCTTTAAAACTGATTTGGCAACATCTCGATTTTCTATATACTTGAAGAACCGGTATAGTTTTGTACTGTATATTACTGCAGAGAGAGAAAATAAAATGTTGTGAAACACAAAGCAACTCATTATCAACAACTGGTTTTTAAGCAGTGTCAATTAAGTTTGTCACTTTAGGTAAATGTACAGTCTAAATCCACGGCAGGGATTACTAATTAGCGAGAACACATTTTTGGTATCTTATTAGGATCCCCATTAGCTGTTGCGAAAGCCACAACTACTCTTCCTGGGGTCCAAACAAAAACATGACATAATACAGAACATTAATGGACAAGAACAACTCAAGGACAGAACTACATACAGTACCAGTCAAAAGTTTGGACACACCTACTCATTCAAGGGTTTTTCTTTATTTTTACTATTTTATTGTAGAATAATAGCGAAGACATCAAAACTATGAAATAACACATATGGAATCATGTAGTAAACAAAGAAGTGTTAAACAAATCAAAATATATTTTATATATGAAACAAATAATATATGTACAGTGAGGGAAAGTGAGTATTTGATCCCCTGATGATTTTGTATGTTTGCCCACTGACAAAGAAATGATCAGTCTATAATTTTAATGGTAGGTTTATTTGAACAGTGAGAGACAGAATAACAACAAAATAATCCATAAAAACACATGTCAAAAATGTAATAAATTGATTTGCATTTTAATTAGGGAAATAAGTATTTGACCCCTCTGCAAAACATGACTTAGTACTTGGTGGCAAAACCCTTGTTGGCAATCACAGAGGTCAAACGTTTCTTGTAGTTGGCCACCAGGTTTGCACACATCTCAGGAGGGATTTTGTCCCACTCCTCTTTGCAGATCTTCTCCAAGTCATTAAGGTTTCGAGGCTGACGTTTGGCAACTCAAACATTCAGCTCCCTCCATAGATTTTCTATGGAATTAAGGTCTGGAGACTGGCTAGGCCACTCCAGGACCTTAATGTGCTTCTTCTTGAGCCACTCATTTGTTGCCTTGGCCGTGTGTTTTGGGTCATTGTCATGCTGGAATAGCCATCCACGACCCATTTTCAATGCCCAGGCTGAGGGAGGTTCTCACCCAAGATTTGACAGTACATGGCCCCGTCCATCGTCCCTTTGATGCGGTGAAGTTGTCCTGTCCCCTTAGCAGAAAAACACCCCCAAAGCATAATGTTTCCACCTCCATGTTTGATGGTGGGGATGGTGTTCTTGGGGTCATAGGCAGCATTCCTCCTCCCCCAAACACGGCGAGTTGAGTTGATGCCAAAGAGCTCGATTTTGGTCTCATCTGACCACAACACTTTCACCCAGTTCTCCTCTGAATCATTCAGATGTTCATTGGCAAACTTCAGACGGCCCTGTATATGTGCTTTCTTGAACAGGGGGACTTGCGGGCGCTGCAGGATTTCAGTCCTTCACAGCGTAGTGTGTTACCAATTGTTTTCTTGGTGACTATGGTCCCAGCTGCCTTGAGATCATTGACAAGATCCTCCCGTGTAGTTCTGGACTGATTCCTCACCGTTCTCATGATCATTGCAACTCCACGAGGTGAGATCTTGCATGGAGCCCCAGGCCGAGGGAGATTGACAGTTATTTTGTGTTTCTTCCATTTGCAAATAATCGCACCAACTGTTGTCACCTTCTCACCAAGCTGCTTGGCGATGGTCTTGTAGCCCATTCCAGCCTTGTGTAGGTCTACAATCTTGTCCCTGACATCCTTGGAGAGCTCTTTGGTCTTGGCCATGGTGGAGAGTTTGGAATCTGATTGATTGATTGCTTCTGTGGACAGGTGTCTTTTATATAGGTAACAAACTGAGATTAGGAGCACTCCCTTTAAGAGTGCTCCTAATCTCAGCTCGTTACCTGTATAAAAGACACCTGGGAGCCAGAAATCTTTCTGATTGAGAGGGGGTCAAATACACTGCTCAGAAAAATAAAGGGAACACTTAAACATCACATCCTAGATCTGAATGAATGAACTAATCTTATTAAATACTTTTTTCTTTACATAGTTGAATGTGCTGACAACAAAATCACACAAAAATGATCAATGGAAATCAAATTTATCAACCCATGGAGGTCTGGATTTGGAGTCACCCTTAAAATTAAAGTGGAAAACCACACTACAGGCTGATCCAACTTTGATGTAATGTCCTTAAAACAAGTCCAAATGAGGCTCAGTAGTGTGTGTGGCCTCCACGTGCCTGTATGACCTCCCTACAACGCCTGGGCATGCTCCTGATGGTGGATGGTCTCCTGAGGGATCTCCTCCCAGACCTGGACTAAAGCATCCGCCAACTCCTGGACAGTCTGTGGTGCAACGTGGCGTTGGTGGATGGAGCGAGACATGATGTCCCAGATGTGCTCAACTGGATTCAGGTCTGGGGAACGGGCGGGCCAGTCCATAGCATAAATGCCTTCCTCTTGCAGGAACTGCTGACACACTCCAGCCACATGAGGTCTAGCATTGTCTTGCATTAGGAGGAACCCAGGGCCAACCGCACCAGCATATGGTCTCACAAGGGGTCTGAGGATCTCATCTCGGTACCTAATGGCAGTCAGGCTACCTCTGGCGAGCACATGGAGGGCTGTGCGGCCCCCCAAAGAAATGCCACCCCACACCATGACTGACCCACCGCCAAACCGGTCATGCTGGAGGATGTTGCAGGCAGTAGAACGCTCTCCACGGCGTCTCAAGACTCTGTCACGTCTGTCACATGTGCTCAGTGTGAACCTGCTTTCATCTGTGAAGAGCACAGGGCGCCAGTGGCGAATTTGCCAATCTTGGTGTTCTCTGGCAAATGCCAAACGTCCTGCACGGTATTGGGCTGTAAGCACAACCCCCACCTGTGGACGTCGGGCCCTCATACCACCCTCATGGAGTCTGTTTCTGACCGTTTGAGCAGACACATGCACATTTGTGGCCTGCTGGAGGTCATTTTGCAGGGCTCTGGCAGTGCTCCTCCTGCTCCTCCTTGCACAAAGGCGGAGGTAGCGGTCCTGCTGCTGGGTTGTTGCCCTCCTACGGCCTCCTCCACGTCTTCTGATGTACTGGCCTGTCTCCTGGTAGCGCCTCCATGCTCTGGACACTACGCTGACAGACACAGCAAACCTTCTTGCCACAGCTCGCATTGATGTGCCATCCTGGATGAGCTGCACTACCTGAGCCACTTGTGTGGGTTGTAGACTCCGTCTCATGCTACCACTAGAGTGAAAGCACCGCCAGCATTCAAAAGTGACCAAAACATCAGCCAGGAAGCATAGGAACTGAGAAGTGGTCTGTGGTCACCACCTGCAGAACCACTTCTTTATTGGGGGTGTCTTGCTAATTGCCTATAATTTCCACCTGTTGTCTATTCCATTTGCACAACAGCATGTGAAATTGATTGTCAATCAGTGTTGCTTCCTAAGTGGACAGTTTGATTTCACAGAAGTGTGATTGACTTGGAGTTACATTGTGTTGTTTAAGTGTTCCCTTTATTTTTTTGAGCAGTGTACTTATTTCCCTCATTAAAATGCAAATCATTTTTGACATGCGTTTTTCTGGATTTTTGTTGTTGTTATTCTGTCTCTCACCGTTCAAATAAACCTACCACAAAAATTATAGACTGATCATTTCTTTGTCAGTGGGCAAACGTACAAAATCAGCAGGGGATCAAATACATTTTTCCCTCACTGTATTCACTCTGGATAAGAGCGTCTGCTAAATGACTAAAATGTAAAAAACTTAAAATATTTGAGATTCTTCAAATAGCCACCCTTTGCCTGATGACAGCTTTGCACACTCTTGGCATTCCCTCAACCGGCTTCAACTGGAATGCTTTTCCAACAGTCTTGAAGGTGTTCCCACATATGCTGAGCACTTGTTGGCTGCTTTTCCTTCACTCTGCGGTCCGTCTCATCCCAAACCATCTCAATTGGGTTGAGGTTGGGGGATTGTGGAGGCCAGGTCATCTGATGCAGCACTCCATCACTCTCATTATTGGTCAAATAGCCCTTACACAGCCTGGAGGTGTGTTGGGTCATTGTCCTGTTGAAAAACAAATGATAGTCCCACTAAGCCCAAACCAGATGGGATGGCGTACCACTGCAGAATGCTGTGGTAGCCATGCTGGTTAAGTGTGCCATGAATTCTAAATAAATCACAGACAGTGTCACCAGCAAAGCACCCCCACACCATAACTCCTCCATGTTTTACGGTGGGAAATACACATGCAGAGATCATCCATTTACCCACACCGCGTCTCACAAAGCCACGGCGGTTGGAACAAAAAATCTCCAATTTGGAGACCAAACCAAAAGGACACATTTCCACCGGTCTAATGTCCATTGCTCGTGTTTCTTGGCCCAAGCAAGTCTCTTCTTCTTATTGGTGTCCTTTAGTAGTGGTTTCTTTGCAGCAATTCGATCATGAAAAAAAATTAGCTCTGGATAAGAGACTAAATTGTAAATGTAATGAAGGCATGATTCACACGGTCTCCTCTGAACAGTTGAGGTTGAGATGTGTCTGTTACTTGAATACTGTGAAGCATTTATTTGGGCTGCAATTTCTAAGGCTGGTAACTCTAATGAATTTATCCTCTGCAGCAGAGGTAACTCTGGGTCTTCCATTCCTGTGGCGGTCCTCATGAGAGCCAGTTTCATCATAGCGCTTGATGGTTTTTGCGACTGCATTTCAAGAAAATGTTCTTGAAATGTTCCATATTGACTGACCTTCATGTCCTAAAGTAATGATGGACTGTCGTTTCTCTTTGCTTATTTGAGCTGTTCTTGTCATAATATGGACTTGGTCTTTTACCAAATAGGGCTATCTTCTGTATACCCCCCCTACCTTGTCACAACACAACTGATTGGCTCAAACGCATTAAGAAGGAAAGAAATTCCACAAATTAACTTTTAAGAAGGCACACCTGTTAATTTAAATGCATTCCAGGTGACTATTTCATGAAGCTGGTTGAGAGAATGCCAAGAGTGTGCAAAGCTTTCATCAAGGCAAAGGGTGGCTAATTTGAAGAATCTCAAATATTAAATATTTTGATTTGTTTAACACTTTTTGGTTACTACATGATTCCATATGTGTTTTTCATAGTTTTGATGTCTTCACTATTATTCTACAATGTAAAAAATAGTAAAAATAAAGAAAAACCCTTGAATGAGTAGGTGTGTCCAAACTTTTGACTGGTAGTGTACATTTAAAAACAGCACACGTAGCCTAGATATCAATACATACATACCTAGATATCAATACATACACACAAAATATCTAGGTCATAGGGTGGGTGGAGAGTGTGTGTGTATTCGCTCACTCTGTGAGTACTCTTCTCCCATCTGTGGTGGGTACTCTTCGTCCCAGTCCACTACGTCATCATCAGTGAGCACTACGATGTGGCATTCTCTCTCCCCACTCTGGGCGCTGGCCACCATCAGAGGTACAACCATCTCCTCCAGGTAGAACTCAAACTGACGCCGTGCACCGTCGTTAGACAGCTCATGCATGAGGGCACCTGGGTCAGTCAGGAGACAGCAGTTCAGAGACGCAAACCAACACACTAACTTCCCAGAACATCTTCATCAGTCGAATAGAAACCTGATTAACCACTAATAAGGCAAGGGATATGAAAACCCAGGGCTCATGATTTATGTTCACGGAGCCAACCAGGTCAAGTAGGGTAAAAAGGGGGTATACTCACTGAGGTCTCTGCACTTGATGGTGCTGTAGTCGAAGGTGATGCACAGATAGTCACATGCCTCCCTCAGCTCAGGGATGGAGATTCCATCGGGGCAACGGATTATCCCAGATTTGTAGTAATCCTGCCAGTTAAGAGAGTGAACAGAGAAAACACAAAGGCAGCCATTACAGAGACTGCCTCACTCACAGACATCAGCCCCCCCCCCCCTTCCTAAAATGGTCAAAATGGCCAACGCCATCTCCCCTAAGTGCAGATACCAGTTTACTGCCAGTTGAGCTGGGCATGAATATAGCTTTGCAAATGTAAAAATAAAAAGTTGCATCTTTCAAAACAAGTGCTGTGCCTCTGAGGCCAGAGTGATCCCTGTTTGTCAACAACAGCCCACATTTGAATCAATCTCATCTTCCGTATTCACATCAGCAGCATTTTCACATCAGCAGCCTACAACCAGTGGTATTGATTCTTGTACTTGTTCTCAGGACACTCAAAGCCTCTGTGGACAACTCATGGCATCTACTCTATTCTACTCTTTAATAACAGTCCGAGGTCGACTCTATAGCCTTAAGTAAATGTTTTTGGTGTCTTTATAATTAAGCTACAAAGTTTCAGACAATCAACAAATAAGTTCATCAATTCAGGATTACTATGAGTAGCAGGCTCCCCCTCCCCTTGTGGCTCAGAAGAGCAAAGGTTAGCAACAGCTACCCTTGATCAAGGAATTATTTTTACAAAAGTAAAAACAGTCAATAATTGACCAAGCTAGTAAAAGGGAATGTTATACTTGGTAATACAGTGCTATTGACTGACCAGGATGGCTCGGAACACTGTAGAGCTGATGCCCTCGGCGACCTCATACTCTCCTTTTTCATTGGGCCGTGTGAAATTGTGTTCCCTTCCAGATCCAAACATTCTGCAAGAAACCACAAAACAGGTCACATTTCCAAGGGGTCACATTTCAGTGTTGTTCAGCATTCATACAATAAAAAGCTAAAGGAAAGAACCCATGGAGGGGACTTCCTCCTCATATAATCATACTGGTAAAACAAAAATTGATACGGATTGATGATTTTATCATAACAAAGTAGAACAATGAGGTCAGCCCTACCTGCCCAACATGGTGTTGGGCTGTGCTGTGAAGATTGAAGGGTCCACCACGAAGCGTGTGTTATCTACAATAAGAGTGACCCTCTCGGAGCCTGAGGTCCGGATGCTGCGGGTACACAGGCCCGTGCCCAGTCCCTCCTTGCTATTCTCATAGACAAACACCATCTCTCCCACCCCCAGGCTCTTAAAGCAGCCCTCAGTGCTGGACAGGCTGCTGTTACGGCTGCTGACCACCCCGCTGCTACTGGAGCCGCTGGGGGAAATCCTCTGAGGACGGGGGCTGCTGGGCCTGGAGCCACCGTCCCGCTCACGGTCTGGAGGTGGAGGGAGAGAGGCACAAATCACTCACTGGCATAATGACGACTGACTTTTTTCACAGACTACTCCTATTACATATCAACATTAGAATACAACATGTTCCCTTATAAATCTTATTTTAGGAGACTGTGTGAAAGTGTTCTCAGTATGTTCTACTCACCACTGTTGTGCTGGCGGGTGGGCGAGGTGACATTTCTGATGCAGGGGGTGAGCTGGCCCTCTCCCCTCTCGTGCGATGAGTCCCGGGAGCGGTCGATGGAGCGGCGGCGGTCGCGTGAGCGGTCACAGCCCCCGCTAGCGCCATGCAGGCTCATCTTCACCAGGTCTGCCTCCAGTCGAGATGCACGCGACTGAGCGCTGGCCAGAGCAGAAAGCACACTAAATACTAATTGCAGTTAAACTCTACACAGACAACACACACTCTCCCTCTGTTGTCCTTCTTCCCCTAATGTATTATTACAGATTGCAGGTGTCTGCTGTAATCGTAGAGACACTCAGGACCTCTGTCAGCAGTGACAGTATGGTCCGGGGCTAGAGCTTTACTAGAACCAGTATTTACCTCTAGAGGTAATTATAACACCGCCCTGACCTGACACACTGCCTGGAGCTAAAGAAACAATGTAGTCACACACTCAATGCAATGAGTAAGAATGCATCTATACTGTGGAAAGTCGATATTTAGAAAGACAGACAGCATAGAAGCCAGCATAGAAATAAGGACTGTTTTTGCAAGAATTTGCTTTGCAAGTTAGGTAGCTAGTCTCTCTAGGGGCTCTTAAATAACAACTACAACGACCCAAGAAATTCCAGACTTTCTGTTCGCCAAAACAACAGCCAGTAAAGGGCATAGACCATTAGCAAACACTTCACTTCAACTTTTAGTTATGAAGTGTACATAGCGCTGCCATGCTGTCATGACAGTGGACTTTACAAATAATTACTACTGGGAGCGTTATGCCAGCCCAACTGAATTTACAGTCATGATAAAAACAGTAGCTTTTTATGATGTTGGGCTCAAGAGTAACCAGGCCTTCATTGGAAATCACAATGGACAATGTCAACATGATGAAATCAAATTGTATTTGTCACATGCGCCGAATACAATAGGTGTAGACCTTACCGTGAAATGCTTACTTACAAGCACTTAACCAACAATGCAGAGATTTATTTTTTATTTTAAAGTAAGAAAATATTTTTAAAATAATATTATTTATTTTTACAAAAATGCACATCAGTGTGTGACTATGCTGAAAAACATCTGTCTAGCCTATAATACCTATAGCTCTATACACATGATAGTGTATGTGAAATGGCTCTACAGAAATGCCAACTATCTTGGTTTGTCACTTCTTTCTGACCTTACACAGTATCAAATACAAAGTAATTGCCTCACCTCGAGTGCTTGCAGAGCTTGCGAGGTCGGTTGGTTGTTTTTCGTTCCCAGTTGTCAGTGTCACTGGAGTTGCTATCATATGACTGTGGACGTGCTGCCATCACCCGTGCACAGAGACATCCAGCCCGGATTCTTCACCATTCATAATCTAACATGACGAAGGGAGTAGAGTTAGATATTAATTCACCGGGTTGATTCAGGAGAGCAAAACTAGCTGTAACTATTAACATAAATGATAGTTATACATTCAGTGAATACGAAACAAAAACTCAATTCCCCTTCGCATTCCAACTCTTGACAACTGCTCGCCAGCTAATGTTATGATGATCCCGAATAATACGAGCTAGCTAATGGTGGCTAACTAGCTAGCTAACCATGTTGACACTGGCACCCAAGCCAACTAATGTGATCACAACATAGCCAGCAGTAAGTTAACTAGTCACCAATCCCAGCTAGGTAGCTAGCTAGTAAATTGCAGAGATGGTTTGGAATGCTTGTAAAAAAATAATAAAAATAAATAAATCTATATATAGCTAGCCAGGCAGTGGCTACATACGTGAGGCGGGCCACAATAAGGATTAGCCACAATAGTGGAATTTGCAGTTTGCCTTCAAAATAAAAGTCCCCCATCGAAAGCGACGCAAACGGATACAAAGAACGGAATCAAGCCATATTTGGACTAGATAATGCTAAACAAGTTCCACATTTTGTTATATAAATTCTACAAAAGACAATCATTTGTTCATTTGACGAAATAAAGTAACAATCAGTTGAAATCGCACTGTGGCTGTATTAGACTTCAGAATTGTAATTGGGGCATACTTATAAAGTCTGCACCCCCCTTGGATTTCTTCACATTTTGTGTTACAAAGTGGGATTAAAATGGATTTGTCCTTTTTTTGTCAACGATTTACACAAAATACTCTAATGTCAAAGTGGAAGAAGAATCTTTAAAAAATTTTTTTTGAATTTATGAAAATGTTAACACTAATATACCTTCATTAGATAAGTATTCACCCCCCTGAGTCAATACATGTTAGAAACTCCTTTGGCATTGATTACAGCTATGAGTCTTCTTGGGTACGTCTCATAAGAGCTTTGCACACCTGTATTGTGCAATATTTCCCCATTATTCTTTTCAAAATTCTTCAAGCTCTGTCAAGGTGTTGGGGGATCATGGTAAGACAGCAATTTTCAAGTCTTGCCATAGATTTTCGAGCAGATTTAGGTCAAAACTGTAACTTGGCCATTCAGGAACATTCACTTCTTCTTGGTAAGCAACTCCAGTGCAGATTTGGCTTATTGTCCTGCTGAAAGGTGAATTCCCCTCCCAGTGTCTGGTGTAAAGCAGACAAGCAGGTTTTCCTCTAGGATTTTGCCTGTGCTTACCTCCATCCCATTTATTTTCATCTTGAAAAACTCCCCAGTCTTTGCCAATGGCAAGCATACCCATACCATGATGTAGTTTTTTTTGCAGTATTACTTTAGTGCCTTGATACATACAGTGGGGAGAACAAGTATTTGATACACTGCCGATTTTGCAGGTTTTCCTACTTACAAAGCATGTAGAGGTCTGTAATTTTTTTATCATAGGTACACTTCAACTGTGAGAGACGGAATCTAAAACAAAAATCCAGAAAATCACATTGTATGATTTTTAAGTAATTAATTTGCATTTTATTGCATGATCTAAGTATTTGATCACCTACCAACCAGTAAGAATTCCGGCTCTCACAGACCTGTTAGTTTTTCTTTAAGAAGCCCTCCTGTTCTCCACTCATTACCTGTATTAACTGCACCTGTTTGAACTCGTTACCTGTATAAAAGACACCTGTCCACACACTCAATCAAACAGACTCCAACCTCTCCACAATGGCCAAGACCAGAGAGCTGTGTAAGGACATCAGGGATAAAATTGTAGACCTGCACAAGGCTGGGATGGGCTACAGGACAATAGGCAAGCAGCTTGGTGAGAAGGCAACAACTGTTGGCGCAATTATTAGAAAATGGAAGAAGTTCAAGATGACGGTCAATCACCCTCGGTCTGGGGCTCCATGCAAGATCTCACCTCGTGGGGCATCAATGATCATGAGGAAGGTGAGGGATCAGCCCAGAACTACACGGCAGGACCTGGTCAATGACCTGAAGAGAGCTGGGACCACAGTCTCAAAGAAAACCATTAGTAACACACTACGCCGTCATGGATTAAAATCCTGCAGCGCACGCAAGGTCCCCCTGCTCAAGCCAACGCATGTCCAGGCCCGTCTGAAGTTTGCCAATGACCATCTGGATGATCCAGAGGAGGAATGGGAGAAGGTCATGTGGTCTGATGAGACAAAAATAGAGCTTTTTGGTCTAAACTCCACTCGCCGTGTTTGGAGGAAGGAGGAGGATGAGTACAACCCCAAGAACACCATCCCAACCATGAAGCATGGAGGTGGAAACATTTCTTTGGGGATGCTTTTCTGCAAAGGGGACAGGACGACTGCACCATATTGAGGGGAGGATGGATGGGGCCATGTATTGCGAGATCTTGGCCAACAACCTCCTTCCCTCAGTAAGAGCACTGAAGATGGGTCGTGGCTGGGTCTTCCAGCATGACAACGACCCGAAACACACAGCCAGGGCAACTAAGGAGTGGCTCCGTAAGAAGCATCTCAAGGTCCTGGAGTGGCCTAGCCAGTCTCCAGACCTGAACCCAATATAAAATCTTTGGAGGGAGCTGAAAGTCCGTATTGCCCAGCGACAGCCCCGAAACCTGAAGGATCTGGAGAAGGTCTGTATGGAGGAGTGGGCCAAAATCCCTGCTGCAGTGTGTGCAAACCTGGTCAAGACCTACAGGAAACGTATGATCTCTGTAATTGCAGACAAAGGTTTCTGTACCAAATATTAAGTTCTGCTTTTCTGATGTATCAAATACTTATGTCATGCAATAAAATGCAAATTAATTACTTAAAAATCATACAATGTGATTTTCTGGATTTTTGTTTTAGATTCCGTCTCTCACAGTTGAAGTGTACCTATGATAAAAATGACAGACCTCTACATGCTTTGTAAGCAGAAAAACCTGGAAAATCGGCAGTGTATCAAATACTTGTTCTCCCCACTGTACATGTTTTGGAATATTTTTATTCATTATATTTAATTATTTTTACGCTGCCATTTAGGTCATTATTGTAGAGTCACTACAATGTTGTTGATCCATCCTCAGTTTTCTCCGATCACAGCCATTGAACTCTGTGCCTGTTTTAAAATCACTAATGGCCTCATGGTGACATCCCTAAGCAGTTTCCTTCCTGTTATGCAGCTCAGTTCAGAACAACAACTTAGTCTATGATGTGTCTGGATGGTTTAGTATATCATCCATAGCATAATTATTAACTTGACCATGCTTAAAGATATATTCAATGTCTGATTTGTTATTGTTACCCATCACTGCCCTTCCTTATCATGTCAACCCCTATTATTTCACACTGAGTGAGTCCATATAACTTATTGTGTGATTTGTTAAGCCAAATGTTACTTCTGAACTAATTTAGTTTTGCCTAAACAAAGGTGGTGAATACTTATGCAACAACTATATTTTAGTTATAAACATTTTATAAATTTGTAAAAATGTGTAGAATTTGTGTAGAGTATTTTGTGTAGATCAATTACAAAAAATTACAATTAAATATTTAAATCCCACTTTGTAATGCAACAAAATGTGAAAAAAGTTCAAGGGGGTGTATGTAGATATTCTATAGGTACTGAGTGTACAAAACATTAGGAACACCGGCTCTTTCCATGACAGACTGACCAGGTGAATCCAGGTGAAAGCTATGATCCCTTATTGATGTCACTTGTTAAATCCACTTCAATCAGTGTAGATGAAGGGGAGGACACAGGTTAAAGAAGGCTATTTAAGCCTTGAGACATGGATTGTGTATGTGTGCCATTCAGAGGGTGAATGGGCAAGACAAAATATTTAAGTGCCTTTGAACGGGGTATGGTAGTAGGTGCCAGGCACACCGGTTTGAGTGTGTCAAGAACTGCAACGATACTGGGTTTTTCACACTCAACAGTTTCCTGTGTGTATCAAGAATGGTGCACCACCCAAAGGACTTCCAGCCAACTTGATACAACCGTGGGAAGCATTGGAGCCCACATGGGCCAGCATCCCTGTGGAACACTTGACAGAATTGTAATCTGTGGGTGTCAACGAGTAGGCTGATACCTATGGATCTTGGACCATGAAATGTGGTATCAGTCTACTCAGTGACTCACAGATTACAATTCTTAAGAGTTTACACAAATATTAGCATCGTAGCTCACATTAGTGAACTTTAACTGTGGGAAATCACCTCACTAGCCTATTGTGCATATGACATTCATATTGCAAAGTACAACCTTACCTATGGATCTTGGGTCCACGAAATGAGGTAAGGCTGTACAGTGCATGTTAGTATGCCCCCAATGCAAATCTGAAGTCTAACACATCCACAGTGCGATTTCAACCATTTTCTTTCTTTGATCAAATCAACTAATAATTGTATTTTGTTTAATTTATACAACATTTCGACCTTGTTTAGCATTATCTATCTAGTCCACATATGTCATGTTTCCACTATTTGTATCCGTTTGCATCACTTTCAAAGGGGAACTTTTATTTTGAAGGCATTCAGCAAATTCCACTATCGTGGCTAAACATTACTGTGGCTAGCTTCACATAGGTGCAGTGGCTAACCTGAGCAAACATGTCATGATGTGCTAACAGTTGGCTAGCTAACTAACGTTAACTGGACAAAACCTAGCTAGTTTAATTTCAAGTTAGCTAGCTAGCTGCATTAGTTCGGGGTATTGATCAATAATCAATCACTAGTTACGTTAGCTACAACACGCTATGTATGCAGAGGAACTACCAGTAAACTAGCTAGCTAGCTGTCTAACGTTAGCTAGCAAGCGCAGATATTTGAACACTTACATACACCAAAATAACTCTTACCTTTTAAATGTAAAATATTCTCGCATTAATATCATATAGCCTATACAAAACATCATATACATGGAATTCAAAGGATCAGTCCAATGCGTCCTGGTTTCACATTTTCCCCTAAAAGGCAAAAGTGATGTTGTCCCTGCTACTAAGACGCTCTCGCGAGATTTGGCAAACAAACGTCATAGGTGCATGCCGCCACCTACTGTATTGGCTGTGTATCAGCCTACTATTCTGTAGTATGAATTCATTACACTTTGTGAAAAATAAATAACATTGCCCTACCAACTAACCCTGCACCCATTAAAGCCTCACCACTATTACACTACTTTGGCCCGCATCTGATCCTACTCCAGGCCAGCAGTCTGGGAGGACGGGACACTATAGTTCAAAACATATTGGAACGCGTCGGTAGTAAATTCTTGTACACCCAAGTACTTCTCTGTGATTTACATTCCATCCCTGCAATACAATTGACAACCATGGCCTTGAAAGCCAAAAAAAAACCTTACTGAAGCATGTTATTCCTATCACTCGATTTGCCTTATCCTACTCACAGGGATCCTCTTAGGATCCCTCACCCTGGACCCATCTTCCTCTACTACTCGCTTCACTGCCTCAGCATATGACACCTTCTGCACTGCTCTGATCCTGGCAACCTCAACCTGCATTTCTCTGACCGAACACCTCTGATCTCCAGCACCATGGGTACCCCTACAGTTTACACAACTTGTTCCACTGATACTACACATTCATTTGTCTCATGTCCTCCTGCAGACTTCTCACATCTAGGAATCTCCCTCCTACACACTGCTTCTGAGGTTTATGGTGGACTACATCCTATAAGGTGTATTGCCGCCACCTATTGTACGGGGTAGAGAACCATAGATATATCTTTTTTAAACATTGCAGAAAAAAACAGACATAATATCAAACACAAAATAAATACTCCTTCAGTCACAATCCAATTCAAATCCCTACAGGCTCTGGGGCCTGTGATGGTGGAACATTCTTCGACAGGATTCCCTGCAGAACTCTGCAAAAAGCGTTCAGCTGCACTCACAATGATGCCAATTCTCTCAGATTTCTTCTCCGTTTGTGGTGAGCAGTTCATGACCATTGCAATAAATGATACAAAGTCCACCTTTTCTACATGCAATATATATCATGATCCCTCAGTTGCCAAGAAACATTGGCCGTGTTTCTGGCCAATGTGAGGCTTTTTATTTCCAAGTGGATAAAATGTACAAGTATTTACAAAAATAATAAACTGGACAAGGAACCAAGGGTAGACCTAATAATCAAAGAGTGCTCTAACCAACAAAAATCCAGGCTTCAATCATCCTGTAAACCCGGCAGGATGCCTACCTGTTACCGGGCTGTATTGTCTCCTAAACAAAGCAAAGACCTGCTTCTTGTAGCAACACCCATTACCCAGAACGCATCACAAACCCTAACAATTACCTAATTGACAATCAACTTCAATAAAGGTATGCCAATGGTATACAAACACATTCAGGTAATATATTCACAAGCTAAATATCCCCACATCACTAACAGTCAATAAATGTGCTTCTCCTAATAAACAGGTGTTAATCAATATCTGGACATACATATTCAGGCAACACTATAGATTATGTGACGTATAACATTATGCCAATCGTCACATTTCCTCCCCCTTCTCCTTGACGCACGAAGTGCAGAGAAAAAGCATTAAACAGTTATAGGTTTACCACCTCCCTTGAAATTAAGGCTCTCAAAAGCATTTAAACACAAACACAGGGGTTTTGCATCAGTATAACAAGGCTGAATGTTCTCAGGTACAGGAACCATAATAGGAGCTTGGAGGCATTTTACCTGACCAGAGTACTGACATTGTATTGCAGTAGGCCTACACAGGTAGAACTCAAGAATGAGCAACATCACCTGAAACAATGAGAACTTGCACTCTGTATGATCATTCTCCGCTAACATTAAAGCGGTGACCCGATCCTGCAGGTTCATGCTCTACAACATTTGCAGAGTACGACCCTACCTTACACAGAAAGCGTCACAGGTCCTAATCCAGGCACTTGTCATCTCCCGTCTGGATTACTGCAACTTGCTGTTGGCTGGGCTCCCTGCCTGTGCCATTAAACCCCTACAACTTATCCAGAACGCTGCAGCCCGTCTGGTGTTCAACCTTCCCAAGTTCTCTCATGTCACCCCACTCCTCCGCACACACCACTGGCTTCCAGTTGAAGCTCACATCTACTACAAAACCATGGTGCTTGCCTACGGAGCTGTGAGGGGAACGGCACCTCCTTACCTTCAGACTCTGATCAGACCCTACACTCAAACAAGGGCACTACGTTCATCCACCTCTGGCCTGCTAGCCCCCCTACCTCTACGGAAGCACAGTTCCCGCTCAGCCCAGTCAAAGCTATTCGCTGCTCTGTCACCCCAATGGTGGAACAAGCTCCCCCACGACGCCAGGACAGCGGAGTCACTGACCACCTTCCGGAGACACTTGAAACCCTATCTCTTCAAGGAATACCTGGAATAGTATAACAGTAATCCTTCTACCCCCCCCACCCCCCCATTCAAAAAAAAGGGGGGTGGTTGTCCTACTGGCTATCCTAAGTTGAATGCATCAATTTGTAAGTCGCTCTGGATAAGAGCGTCTGCTAAATGACTTAAATGTAAAAAAAATTAATTGTTCATTTTGAACTACAGTCCCGGGTCAGAAATCAGACCTTCACTGATCTGCTTGGTTGTTGAGGGCGTGTCCACCCTTCTTGGTACAGTCACCTTTTGTAGAGAAGGTGAGTCAGGTGAATCAGTACCCCAGAAGAACCAAAGGCAGGATCAGACTCCTACCCAGCTTCAGGCCTAGGGCACAGCTCAGTATTATCAGTCTCAGGAGATAGCGTGTGAGAGGCACTTCACTCTTACCAGCAACCGGCAGAGACTCCTCCCCACCGCCATCCATCCATCAGCCCAGCGGTATTGGCCATGGGCATCTGGCTAGCCACCAGCTCATCAACAGCATCAGAAACCTGCATCTCCACTGGAGTCTCAGGCACCCCAGCTTGCAGCTTGGACTCACCCCCAGCAGGGAGAAGAAGATCAGGGACAGGTACAGGAGACAACCGAGAGGGCAGCTCCTCGTCGATAACAGGGCTTGACTGTGGGGCCTCTACAGCAGGCGGCGAATCAGCAGACGCCTCGGACCTCCATGGCTGGTGGAACACGCAGGTAGCCAGTACGTGCCTGTGCTTGTCGTAGTGATAACACCAGTCCTTGCCACCAGTCCTTGCCACCATGGCCAACTTCCCAGCCATGGCCACAGTCACATGCACAGCTTCTCTTAGGTGTGCGGATATCACAGTCGCACAGCTCCTTCCCCAGAGACATTCCTTGCCCCATCACCTCCAGTAGAAACCGTTGCACCTTGAAGAGCTGCTCCAGCGGTGAGTCGGCCATGTATGCGTCCGCCCAGTGCTGCCAGGCCTGTGGGAATTCATGGATAGATGCCCTGATGACCTCTGCAGCCCCTTCAAAACAGGTAACCCTCCGTGTTTAGACACCAGAACCAGTGTTAAGCAGTGTTCCAACTCAAGCGTCACGTCATCTTCCTCCATCTTATAGCGTGCCTGCACTCCTCACTGTGGCAGGGTTTTGCCGGAACTTCTGACACCCTTTGTGAGGTTGACCATGCTGTTGGATTGGAACAGTGAGGAGGCATAAGAGGAAGATGTGGTTCTGCCAAAGTGTGGCTTTTTATTAGCAGGTGAAGAATTAATATAGCCGGCAACTGTACAAGTATTTCCAAAAACAAATAAACAGGACGATTAACAAAAAGTAGGCCTAATAAACTTGAAAGAAAAGCCAGGCTTCAATCATTCCTGTACCAGGCAGCATGCCAATCTTACCCTGTCTGTTCCCTGTCTGTCTCTCAAATGCAGAAATGACTAGGTTTAAATACCAATACCCACAATGCTTCAGCCAATGGAAGGAAGACCTGACACAATGATCAATTAATATTCATAATGAAATAAATTCAATACAACATGTTCAGTTCATAAACATATATGTATTAATACCAGCACACATATCAATAAATATGCTTCTTAAAAATCATATATTTGCAATGACTGGTTATTTAGAATACGGCCTGGTTTTAGATCAGGTGACGGAGGACATAGGGAGACCGTCACAGAGCACACACATTTTTTTCTAGAGGCTTGTCGAAGTTCTGTAGCCGAAGTTTACGCCCATTCGTCAGTGATTGGTCAACAGTAGGGATTCTTCAATTAAGTGTTTTTTCTCATTCAACGACAGACGACTAGATTTCATGCACATTTTTTCACTTGAGAAATACTGCACCAAACATCATAGGCAAAATCTTCAAAACTAATTACAGATTTCTTGTGTTATCTTATTAATTCAGATTATTTTGAAGAAGTGTAGTTGTCTCAAGAGGGCCAAACTTTTTTCTGTTTTTTCAAGCCAAGGTTTTCCCTTCGCTTATCTGAGTTCTGCTAGGAGCAAACCAACCCTATGTATGAGGATGACTTTAGCCTGACTGATGCGACTCACGTGACTCACAGCGAGGGAGAGCTGTGACACACTGGTCTGGACAGGAGGCTGTTGTTTGAAGTCAAGAGGACTTTGAGTCAGGTGTTAGCCAGACTCTACTACCATTACCTCTTCAACGCCACTCGCTCCTTCAACTCTTCTCACCGCCTCCAGGAGACACGCTGGACAGCCCTTATTCTTGCCACATCTGTCTCCTTTACCCTAACAGGGTAATCCAGGAATTTGAGCTCATGTTCGCCACCACGATTGCAGCAGCGTTCAACACCATTGTGCCCTCCAAGCTCATCGCTAAGCTCAGGACCCTGGGACTGAATACCTCCCACTACAACTGGATCCTGGACTTCTTGATGGGCCGCCCTCAGGTGGTGAGGGTAGGCAACAACACATCCGCCACGTTGACCTTCAACACAGGGGCCCCTCAGGGGTGCGTGCTTAGTCCCCTCCTGTACTTGCTGCTCACCCACGACTGCGTGGCTGCGCACGACTCCAACACCATCATTACGTTTGTTGATGACACAACGGTGGTAGGCCTGATCACCAACTACGATGAGACAGCTTACAGGGAGGAGGTCGGTAACCTGGCAGTGTGGTGCCAGAACAACAACCTCTCCCTAAGCATCAGCAAGACAAAGGAGCTGATTGTGGACTACAGGAAATGGAGGGCCAAGCACGCCCCCATTTCCAAGCACGCCTCCATCCACAGGGCTGTAGTGGAGCGGGTCAAGAGCTACCCATACAGTGCATTCAGAAAGTATTCAGACCCCTTGACTTTTTCCACATTCTGTTACGTTATTCTAAAATGGATTAAATAGTTTTTTCCTCTCATCAATCTACACACAATACCCCATAATTACAAAGCAAAAACAGGTTTATAGAAATGTTTGCAATCGGTTGGGTTTATCGTTACTCGTTGTGTATTTATTCCTCGTGTTATTATCTTTCTATTATTAAGTAAGCATCTCACTGTTAGTCTACACACATTTTATTGGATTTGAGCATATAACCTCAGCATACGATACTCTTCCCTTCTGCATACACTTGACACATTACCAAACTTTAGCATTCATGCCACTGAAGGGGTTTGTGCACATAAGCTCTTATAGGGTATCTCACAAAGCCTAACTTTACATGAGAAGGGAGAGACTCTTCATCTTCCACCAGTGTGTCAACTCCTTTATCTTCCTCCTTTGCTAAATAGCTTCCTTGTCTTACTTCCACCCAGAGTGCAAATTATACCGTAACATTCAGTCCTCCAATGTGTGCACACACTTCAAGTGCACACATCTTTTTTATGGGCTTAATATTAAAGACGTCATTTAACGTATTTATTTTTTATTACCTTTTAATGTGTCATGAACACATTCTGCGAATGTCATTGGGTCTACACTCTTGTAGCCTTGATTAATTGATGTGTCTTGCTGACAAAACAATTTTTTTTGTAAAAAGAAAGGTTGGGACACCTGAAAAGGGGCTGAGACACGGGACTGTCCCAGGATGTTACAACCATGACACAGAGGTGGGGGTGTTCATTTAATTTGGAATAAGCTTTTATTTTACTATATACCACTGTAGAAGTACAAATTGCATAAAAAAAATAGGAGAATGCTTAAATTAGCATTATTTAGATATCCCCTCCAAAGTTAGACTTTGTTGCATTTAGGGGGACTCATGTCTCATTCAGGGGGTCCCTGAGCCCCCCGTAACTCTGCTTCCATCCCATAAAATTTAGACCTGCACAACGTTTTGCAAATAGTCTATTTATTAATGCATATAAAAATAATCTCACATGTTCACATTGAAATCTATTTTATTTATTTATTTTATTTTTTATTTTTACATTTTGTGCTTTTCATGAATTATTATTTTGAAATGACAAAGCATCTGTGAGAGTAGTAAACAGTGATATCATTATGATTTAAAAGGTACAAACAGTAACCAAGTTGGTCCTCATTGTGAACATTATTTAAAGTAAACTGTGCTTTACACTGAAATAAAGCAATGTCAAAGAGATGGACATATCAAAGACAATAACAAACCTTTTTTGACACTGCTAACGGTGATCTGACACATACAACGTGGTAAAGCAATATAAAAAAGATATACTGTTCTGTGTGCTTTAGTCCAGGTAGTGGTCATAAATAAAATGTGTTGTTAATTCAAATGCAGTAAAACCAGGAAATAAATATAAAATATAAATAAATATATAAATAGTAAATACATTAATAAATACATAATTAAACTAATAATCTAAAAAATGTCTAAAACTAAAATGACATTTACAGTGAAAACTTGAAGTTTCATTGTGAGAGTTCAACTGTTTTTTTTAACGAGGTATCACTTGTGTAAGACTGAAGAGAAGACAAACCCTGAGTACTGAGGCTTAACTTGTATACAGGCCCAGTCCTGTGAGATCATCAGGAAGCAGACTCCGGATCTTCCCTGATTGTCCATGTTGTTGTGCTTTGGCGTGTGAGGCTGCAATTATATCCTTTAACTTCAGCTGAAGCCAGTCTTGTCTCTCCCCGACCTGCTTGTGTACTCCCACGTTGTGCATGAGCTGGACCTCACTGATGGACCTCTTTCTGTTGGCCAGAGAATAACCATTGCAACCCAATTAGATCGAGGTGACTTAGAATACAAGATACAACAAAGCAATGAAATGCCATTGAGAAATAAACCATGGTATGAAATGCAATACACAAAATTACATTTTGACAGTTAAGTTGGTCAACCTACCTCATTGGTCTCGCCTCTGTGTGTAAATTGCAGAGGACAATTATCAAAACAATTTTGTCCAAAGATCTGATGGAAAGCATATTGATTGCCTGAAAAATTAAGAACTTGTCTCAGCAATCTTGTATGAACTAATTTAACTCATTATTACTAATAATCTGTTTTCAATAAAGGTCAGTAACATGTCTATATCTTTAACTCTGTAGTAAGACAATGCTTCACATTTAACATAACGTTAAGACAGTTATTAAATGTATCTTAGATTATCAATATCAGATTACAACATTTAATGTAAACCTTTACTTACCAGTTTCTGCCTGAGTTTATTCCACAACGTTTAGATATGTTTTTCTGTAATGCTTTGGAGGGGCCAGTCTAGCTGGTTGATCAGTCTATTATAAGTGCTTAGAGTAACTCTCCCTCCTTTTTATACAGTAGCCCTCCCCTGGTCATTGATGAGCCACTTTCATTATTGATGTTGATGTCACCCCTTCAGTGCAGGCATCTGCATGACGACACCTCGACCAACACTCACCACTAATTCAGCTTTCAGCACCTCTGCCAAGAGCCCTGCTGGTCACACTGCTTTTGAACCTATTCCATGGTCGTCCATGACATGACACTGAACAAGAGGGCCTACTTCAATTAAATCTATATCTATCCATCTAATAAACTGCAGAAACTTGGGATGTGATGAAAGTTTTTGATATTGATGTCTGTATTTGTTTGTTGTACGTAACAGAGCTTTGCTATCCTCAAATTACCCAGAGTTACTGTCTCTGGCTGTCATCTAAATATAGAAACAAGGCTGTTTATTTATTGTTCATGTCTTGCAAGCATGTAAAGGGTATATGAAGTGAAAAAGTGCTGTTGAACCACTACAAAAGCAAAGGCTCAATGGAACCCATCCACAGACTATTTATTGGTAGCTTTGGCAAGGAGAACATTTCCTTGGAGACAGTCGTTGGTATTTCAACACATTAGAAAGCTAAATGTGCTTAGAGAGAGGTGCCCAGGCAGTGACGTCTAAATTGCACTCTGACTTCAGACTTAGACGTTGGACCAGTCAAGAGAGTTCCGTCACTCTCTACACACTTCCTGTAAAGGTAGCATTGTGAGGGTGAAAGAGCAAAGCATCCACTTACATTTACTCATGGTATTCCCAGCATCAGGTTAATCTATCTTGCAGCAAGCTATTATACAGTGCATTCAGAAAACATTAATACACCTTGACTTTTTCTACATTTTATTGTGTTTCAGCCTGTATATTTGGTCACTGGCCTACACACAATACCCCATAATGTCAAAGTGGAATTATGTTTTTCAAACTTTGAAAAACATCTGAAATCTGAAATGTCTTGAGTCAATAAGTATTCAACCCCTTTGTTATGGCAAGCCTAAATAAGTTCAGGAGTAAACATTTGCTTAACAAGTCACATAATACGTTGCCTGGACTCCCTCTGTGTGCAATAATAGTGTTTAACATGATTTTTGAATGACTACCTCATGTCTGTACCCCACACATACAATTATCTGCAAAGGTCCCTCAGTCGAATAGTGCATTTCAAACACATATTCAACCACAAATACCAGGGAGGTTTTCCAATACCTCTCAAAGAAGGGCACCTATTGGTAGATAGGTAAAAGAAAAAAAGCAGACATTGAATATCCCTTTGAGCACGGTGAAGTTATTAATTACACTTTGTATGATGTATCAATACACCCAGTCACTACAAAGATGCAGGTGTCCTTCCTAACTCAGTTGCCGGAGAGGAAGGAAACCGCTCAGGGATTTCACCATGAGGCCAATGGTGACCTTAAAACAGTTACAGAGTTTAATGGCTGTGATAGGAGAAAACTGAGGATGGATCAACAACATTGTAGTTAGTCCACAATTAGAACCTAATTGAAAAGAAGGAAGCCTGTACAGAATAAAAATATCCCAAAACATGCATCCTCTTTGCAATGAGGCACTAAAGTAATACTGCAAAAAATGTGGCAAAGCAATTCACTTTCTGTTCTGAACACAAAGTATTATGTTTGGGGCAAATCCAATACAACACATTATTGAGTACCACTCTCCATATTCTCAAACATAGTGGTGGCTGCATCATGTTATGAGTATGCTTGTAATAGTTAAGGACTGGGGAGTTTTTCAGGATAAAAAAGAAACGAAATGGAGCTAAGAACAGGCAAAATCCTAGAGGAAAACCTGTTTCAGTCTGCTTTCCACCAGAAACAGCATACATTTATAAAAACATGTTTTCATTTTGTCATTATGGGTTATTGTGTGCAGATGGGTGAGAACAAAAATCTATTTAATCAATTTTGAATTCAGGCTGTAAGACAACAAAATCTGTTAGAAATATATTTCTATATATTATATTATATTATATATATTATAAGCACAAGATATTTAGCTACATTGAACACCACTGTTATATCGAGGTCTTTAGTTGGGCCTACCTGTGCCTTACATGATCTATGGGTAGTGGATAACCTTGTAATACTTTCACAGGACACATTAGGTAACCATGAGATAGGTTTTCTAAATGTGGAAGAGGAATGACTATGCCATGACAGAAGGACCAGAAGAAGTAGGTCCCACAAAAAGAACAATATCTAGCTGTCACAAGATGACCTCTTTACAGTAGCCTTGTGTGCAATGGGTGGATCTCTTACAATGTCTTGTTATATATTCTCATAACATATTATGTTTAATAGGAGTACTAATTTTAATAGGACACCTGCTCCACCCCTCATGATTCCAGTCACTGTTTGGTATTGTTGTACAGATAAAAGTTCTGGATCCTACTCAAAGGTCAAAGGTTGATTTATGTGATGGCTGTCATTTAAGTTGTCGGTGCCTTGCCGGCAGGACCCTAGGCATAAGCTACATATGCGACCGCTTCGGGCCCCGCGGCCACTAGAGGGACCCCAAACCCCCCCCCCAAAAAAAATGTTTAGATATATTTTTTAAAGAACTCTGTCGGGTCTCAACTTACTGTTGAGAGTTAGAATAGTAGAATACACAAGGTGCAATTTAGAAATGTTGTTGTGCATCACCAGATTTTATCTTGTTATGTCATTCACTGACAGTCACTCAATTAGCCCATGTCAGCTAACATTTTTAGATTGCTAATTTAGTCTAGCCAGCTATCTAAACTTGGATGGGTGCAACAAAACTTCACTTAGGGTCCCCAAAAGGCAAGGGCTATGGGTCAGTGTGGTGTGATGTGAGAGGTAGAGGAGGAGGAGAAGGAGGAAGAGGAGGAGGTGGGGAACAATACTGTTGACTAATTCTGACTTAGTTTGTCCATAAATCCTATACATCTTGCATGTAAACAGCTTAAAGTGCTCTCCACCTGTGTGCTCTACTGGAAAGGATAGGCTTGAACACGTGTGCTATACCCAACCAACTTGCTCTCATTACCTCATGTGGGCACAATGTGAACCATCCTACTGATGGTATGCCCCTGCAGTGGTGTGCAGGGGGACTCGACAGGGATTAAGGTGAAGAATTGCTTACAAACCATTAACTTGGGTCACCCCATGTCACAATGACAGTAACGCTTACGAAAATCACCCAGGGTTCCTTTCTATATTTGTATATTTTAACCAGATAAGTAGAACAAAAGGAATCTATATTTAACTGTTTGTGTATATTGTTTTCACTAAGGATGCATACATTATCATTCCATAACATGGTACGAAAAAAATGTGGAAGGAAAAGTCTATATAAGTCAAATGTACTATAATATGGTAGTTTTTAGCTTATGTCAAAATATATATTGTTTTGTATAATTGATGTGCTGTTCATACTGCATGTCCCCAGCAGGGGACTGAAACAGGTCTCTCACCTCTGCATTGTTTCTCCAAGGCTATGGGAAGCCATACCAGCTATCCTCGCTTTCCCTGAAATCTATAAATGGACCTCTATTTTTCAAGAAATGAGGTCACTAAACTAGTATTTATAATTTGACAAAATATGATATATTTAGATGGTCTACAGCATCTTTAATCATTATATGTGCTACCAAGACAAACACATTGAAAGTTTACTGAATCTGCAGTATTAAGATACAACGATTTAGTGATAAAACGATGTATCACGTTTGAACATGTTAGAATGCTGTGATCAGCCACGAGCTATACATGTTTCAAAGGGTGTATATCAAAGCTCTCTGGGGCCAGCCAACAGCATGTCAAGCCTGCCCTCCTTCCTTCAGTGTGAAACTGTTTTGCTCACTGAATTGTCTGATACACAATGTAGATATGTTCCTACATATCCATCCATCACATACTGTACATTTGCCATGTTCTGTCTGACTGCTCTGCACAGGTGTTAAGAGAGTCACGTTGGGATCTCTGGGTTGTTGTTCACAGAGTGCATGGTAGCCTACATATACTCCAAGAACTAGAAAATGAACTCAAATGACAACTAGAGAAATGGCTCAAAGTTTGCATTATGTCCTCCCTGTCTATACTAACAGTTTCTCTAAACATCACCATTACCTTTCTAAACATAAATATTACAGTGCTATCACTGTAAATGTCAAAAGGGAGAAGCATTAAGACTATGTTAACATTTGTGATTCATTATGCCTGTTGACATGATGATTTTCATGCAATTGCAATGAAAAAACAAAATCTATTTTAGATTAGGAAAACACAACGAGAGGTGATATTACAGTGTGGGGGACAGTAAATATCCACCAGCAAAATTACTCAGACCTTGAGTGACACTTTTATTGCTTTTGAATTCATATTTCATCGTCTGAAAGGAATTGGAGGCTGCTGCTGTGTGCTCATGATGGACTAATGCACGTTTTATAAGTGTGTCTGTGTGTCTGTGTGTAAACATCCCAAACGCCTCTGCAACATCTGAAAAAGGTTTCAACCTGTCCAGTATTCCCCGCAATAGCCACCATTAGCCATGGACAGGATATCAAACAGATGCCTGGGGCAATGTTTCTCTGCCATGCCATCCTGTCTGTCTGCTCTTTCTTAGGCACAAAACTTGCTTCCCTCTCCATTTCGATTGACGCCTGAGTCTAGCATCATTCTCTGCTTTCTATTCTCG